GCAGTCACCAGCCACTTGGATCGGCTGGTAGAAGCAGCCTCGGGGCGAGCGCACACACACATACACACTCCCCCCGCCCCGAGGCTGCTTCTACCAGCCGATCCAAGTGGCTGGTGACTGCATTTGGGGAACTTCCATTGCCCGAAAGAGACTGCCTAAAGGCGAGGGGACACGGGCAGCCACGCCACGCCACGCCTCGAAGCAGCTGGGGACTCTGGCTTCGGGGAGCTTTCATCGGCCGATAGAAGCGGCCTCACGGCGAGGTACGTGCGTATGGGCCGCTCTAGGTGGGGGAGGAAATTAAGTCACCCCGAAAATACGGCCTACCCGTTTTTTCAGGGGTCAAAAAAAAATAAGGCCCGGGCTTATTTTGTGAGAAACACGGTAGTGTCATGAAATGGCATGTTTCCCTACATTGGAAGTCTTCAAAAGAACTAGATAGCCATCTGTCCAAAATGCTTCAGCCCACCTAGAAGGGGGGGGTTCAATTAAAAGACTTCTGACCCCCAAAGTAAATTTAAATATGATAGGCAAGCATGAAAGAATGAATGAATGCTTTATTGACCAAGTGTGATTAGACACACAAGGAATTAGACAATAGGAAATATAAAAAATTAGCATATCATAAAGTTTCCCAAATGTGGGCTCTCAGATGTGCTAGAATTCTCACCCAAAACGCTACAGCTGAACAAGAGTATCTCTACAAGTAACAATCCTATAGAATTATAAAGAGAATGTGGTAAAGGAAAACTGGATAGAGCTTGGCTATTTTGTAATCTAAAACATTTACTGTGCACAAAATTTAATGCAGAGAATTTAATTTAACAAAATTTAACAGAACACTTATTTCAAATTTGCTCTCAGTTGCTGTTTATACTTTCTTATTATATAACAATCCACTATATTTCTAGTTAAAAGTCTAACCTTCTCCTGAAAATGTAGATTTTGAAACTGGTGATGTCCTCTTTAAGTTAGCAGGACTCTCTGAAGATCCAGAATCCATGCTAAGAAAAAAAAGAAGGATCAATGGTTTTTTTGTAGCTTGTTTGGTGAGGACAACTTGAAAAAATATACAACATGTTGATCTACTATGTATGAATATATATTGTTATTTCTAGATTATGGACAAGTTACTTTTTCTCTTTAAACGATCTTTACATACACATGTTCATATATATAATTATGTTAACAGTTGTTTAAATAATCCCTCCATTACTACTATATATAGCAAAATAAAACAAATACCTTGTTGATTTCCTTATAGGACCTGATATAAGCTTCACGTAGGATTTAGGAAACCATCCTTTTTGTCCTTGAACCTCTCCAAACCACCACATATCTTGCTGTTCTAACACAGTGATGATATCATTCTTGTTAAAATTTAAATGGTTGTCTTTTTTGGCTCGCCAAGGATATAATGCTTGTGCTTGAAGTCCTTCTACTTTTTCACCCTAGTTAGATATTGAAGTTAGGTTGAGTTTATTTGATATACTATAATAATCAATAAAATATAGGGCATGAGAAGGCACAACATTCATAGATTATTGTGAAGTTATCATGGTATTGTGAAATTTCCAATGTATTTGTTTAGCATTACTGTGCATTCTTCAGTTTGGACAGTATGGACCCAGGAATTCCTAAATTGTTCTTTTCCTGCCTATTCACGTAAACTATCAGTTCTATTATTTATCTAACCCACTGTTCATTTCATAAAGCAAGAGCTCAAGTACGATACAAAGTACCCAATAAAATTTATGCCCATATGGTATTTAGCTTACTCACAAATATCAACTCACCTGACCCAAAACAGGAGAAGGAGAGGATCCAGTAACAGTTGCAGGAGTAAAGGCAGATCTTTGCCTTAACTGTCCTGTGCTTGGAACTGTAAGGGAAGGCTGAACTGCCCAAGCATCCCAGTTATCTGTTTCTTGCTTATCACTAGTAGTTGTTGGCCAACTGCATAAAGGGAGATTACCATAGTTAAAAAGCATGTTTTCTCCTCTCTCTAATCACGAGAATAGTGGATCATGGCTGCATCTTTTTTGTTATTACTGCTACTGCATGATCTTCTCAAGACATAAAATATTCAGAAGAGATATACACCATGAGACCTTAGAAGCCCTGGAGGCCTTATGCCACCTTGGATTGTACAAAAGAGTGACAAAGAGGGAAAGGAATAATAGCTGCTTGGAATTTCTGAAGGCAATTATGACCATGGATTTCTTTACATGGCTTAAATTTTTTTAAAGTCTTCAAATACTTTTCTTTTTGGGATATTTTCTCAAGTTTGTAATTTAAAAACAGAAATTTTAACTGCTTTCTAAGAGCAGAAAATAAAATTGGTTTGGAAAAAAATAATTTTTAAACTGGGCTGACCAATTTTCAAACTACTAACATGCCAGAAATTAAGAACAGATGTGCTTCAATATGTAAGTTAAAACCTATGAAATTAATTATGAAAGTGGTATAATTTATCTTGGTTATTCACTTATACAATTACCAAAAGGAAAAAATGAAATTCCAATGATATCATACGTTGAACTGAAGTCTGCCCAGTTGTTGCTAGTAGGGCTTGAATCTGTAGGAACTGTAGGTGGGGCCATAGGTATTGAAGGGGTTTCACGTAATGAAATTTTAGGTACAGATGTCACATCAGTTAGCTGCTTTATGGAACTTGGAATTTCATTTTCAGACATCTTTTCTGCATAGTTTGCAGGAAACCATCCTGTTTTTCCCTTCAGTTCACCTCCAAGCCATCCCGGTTCTCCAGTTTGGCTTTCATCCACCTGTTCAAATATAATAAGTTAATTCAAAGCATAAAACTACAATGATTTCCACAAATAGTATTTTTACCAAATGCAGAATATTTAAGAATTTTAGAGCAATAGTATTATAATTAATAAAATGTAAGTAAATCCGTAGTGATTGGAACAAAAAGCTTTGACAAAGCCTTATTGACAGTAACAGTGAAAACAGATGCTATCCAAGAAGCCCACCAGAGTCCAATTCCAATTATACTAATTTAGGACAAAATAATCTAAATATAAGAGACCCAATATATATAACTGAAGGCAAATAACAGTAAAATATAAAAAATAAACTTATATTAAATCTGTATTAATATTTATAGCCTAATTATTTTTCTACTTATGTAATTATGCTTCAACAATTATGTTTGATTATTTTATATATTAACATACATTGTCATGATCTGAAGGAAATAATATCAGGTAATAGTGTTGGGCTGAGCTCTGAGCTTGGCAATTTGGTTGCAAACGTTTGTCACCATTCAAGGAGACATCGTCAGTGCACTTTGAATTATGCTCATCCGTCAGAGCACCGGTCTTTAAATGTGATGCAAATTAGTATGAATATTGTTTGCTTGGCTACTTCTGAATCATGGTCTGACTTTGGACTGTTTGATTGGCTGGCTGTTGTTACTGAGGCATGGCTTTTGGTTTTAAGTACCGTGTGTGTGATACAAATTAGTGTTGTTTATTCAGATACTCCTACGTCATGGTCTGGTTTTGGTCTGTTTGAATGGCTGGCTGATGTTATTGACACGTGGCCTGATTTCTTGTGAGCTGAGGGGTTGTGATTGTTGCGTAGTGTGGTGCCTGTTTTTTTCATTTTAAATGCTATCTTCAGGATCTCAGTTGACACAGTTCTTTCGTTCTCAGTGATTGGTAGACTTGATTGATGTCAATATGTCTGTTTATTGATTTATTGATGGAAAAATCAGGCTTTGAGGAATTCTCCTTCTCTCCTTGATTTCACCTGTGGTCCTGGTTAGATCAAATTTGTGTCCTTCTGAATCTTTATGGATGGACATGAGGGATAGTAGGTCATGTCTTTTGATAGCCAGGAAATGTTTGCACAATCTGGTGGATAGTTTTCTCCCTGTTTGGTCAACATAGTTCTTTTCACAGTTGCTGCACTGGATTCAATATATGACACCTGACTTTAGTTTGTTTCTGTCTGCCCTTTTCGTTTTGACAGGGTCTGTCTGATAGCTGAGGTTGGTTTGTGGGCTACCACAAGATCATTTTGACATAGTAATCTTGCTGTCATTTCTGAAACATTCTCTACATAGGAAATTGTGATTCGTCTGGTCATTGTTGTTTCTTATTGTGGTTGTTTTGCTTTGAGTGTTTGTATTATTTGTATGTAGATATCTTAAGATGAAGTTTCGTGGGTATCTGTTTCGTAAGTATCCCTCATGTCAATCCACAAACATGGTGATGAAATATTTGCAACCAAATTGCCCAACAGCCCAAGTACTAACAGCTCAGCCCAACTACCAACCCAAGCTACTTATATTCAAATATATTTCAACCAGGTAATAGTGTATATTTCATTATTTATTAGATGTATATACTGTATTAAAATTTATCATAAAATATGTTTATTATAGTAAGATAAAAATGCAAAAAATTATAAAAAGGTATTAAGAGAAGCATTCCAGAGGTATACATATAAATGAATGAGTTGAGAGGGATTGTATAATGTTATATAGGTAGTTCCTCATTTAGCAACTGCTTTTAGTAACCATTCACAGTTATGACAATCACAAAAAAGTCTGCGACCAATCGTTGCATTTACAATCTTCACAGGTCTGTAAAGCCATGCTATCAAACATCAAAAGTATCTATCAGGCTATCCCATCTCTTTTACTTGGATGATCTGAAACTGTATGGAAAAATACCACCTGAAACATAATTCTTGGTTAATACAGTCCATATATACAACAAAGATATTACAATGGAGTTTGGACTGTGCCACGCTCATTATCAAATGGGGATAAATAGTAAAAACTGAAGGAATCAAGATGTCCTATAGAAATAATATCAAGGTTCTGGATGAAGACAATCAGTACAAATACCTGGGCATCCTTCAAACTGACATCAAGCATATTGAAGTCAAGAAAAAGTAGTGAACATATTAAGAGAGTGAATTAGTTCTTAAAGTCAAAACTCAGCAGAGGAAATACTATCAAGGCAACTGACATCTTGATGATTCCAGTTATTAGATACATAGTTCGAATAGTAGACTGGACTCGAGTAGAACTAAAAGCCCTGGATAGGAAGATCAGAAAAATAATGATAATGAATCATGCCTTCCATTTTTGCAATGATACTGACTTTACTTGCCAAGGAAAACTTGCCAAGGAAAATAGGTGGGCGTGAAATATTGTAAGTGCATCAGATGGTTTAGAGAGAAAAAAAGGCCACTAGAGGAATATCTAAAGGACAATGAAGAAAATGCATTGGGGCTAATATACCAAGAAGGCCTATTGAGAGACCAAACTGGCCTATAAGAAAGACCAAATGAAGAACAATAAAGAGATATGGGAAGACAAGTATTACATGGCCAGTACTGAATATTAAAAAATAGCAGGCAAAGCAGATAAAACCAAGGCCTGGTAGCATGTAAGACCAGGAAAGTTAAGAAAGAGACAGAGGGGCTGCATAAGATCAAGCTTTAAGAACAAATATATTCACAGCTAGAATTGAGAAGACAGCCAGAGAAGTTGAAGGCCACATCTGCAAAGAAGCTGAAGAAGCAGTAGATCACCTAGTGAACTACTGAAAGAAGACTGCATAGACTACTGTGGCATTGACATGACAAAGTAACAAAACTGGTGGATTGGAAAATCTGCAAGAAATAAAATTTGCCTGCAATCATATAAATAAAATTGAGACAGTACTAGACGATGAAGAGGCTAAAGCGCTCTGGGATTTTAGAATTCGACATACATCTGCCACATAACACCCCGGACGTAACAACTGTTGATAACAAAAACAAAAAAGTCTAGATAGTGCATGTGGCAGTATCCGAAGACAGCAGAATAGAAGAGAAAGAACTGGAAAAGATAACAAAATACAAAAATTTGCAAATACAGTATCTCACAGTACACCCCCTCACATTTTGTAAATACTTAAGAATACCTTTTCATGTGACAACACTGAAGAAATGACACTTGGCTGTAAAGTAGTGAGTGTACAGCTTGTGTAACAGGGTAATTTGTTGTCCCCTCAAAATAACACAACACACAGCCATTAATGTTAAAACCCCTGGCAACAAAAGTATAGACTAGACTAGACTAGACTAGACTAGAATATAGAACAGAACAGAGCAGAATAGAATACCTTTATTGTCATTCATTTTTTTCAGATCCTCAGAGAGTTCATTGCCATGCCATGCCATGTTGAACTTCCAGAGACCAGTATGAGAGTGAGAGCAATAACACCAAATTTAACACACCTGCTCCCCCTTCACACTTGAGAGCTTGTAACATTAACAAGTCACATGACACCAGGGAGGGAAAACTGCTACTTGGGCCCCATTTGGACATTATCACTTAGGGATGTACTCACTTTTGTTGCCAGGGCTTTAGACATTAATGGCTGTGTGTTGCATTATTTTGAGTGAAAACTATAAACACAACTTTAAGCATAAATATACTTGATGAAATCTAAGTTAAGATCTAGCTAGCAGCATACTTAAACATCAAATTAAAGTTCATATAAGATTCAATATTTTAAACTTTATGATATGAAAAAATCATTTTCTAATACTCCAAAATAAGTATACAGTATTTACATTATATACGTCAAATAATTAAAATCCTGTCTATGAAAAAAGGCTTACATTCATGCCAAACAATGACCTTCCACTGATATTTCCCTCCTTTTATCCCTGTTTATACAGGAATTGTAAAAACTTTCAGAAGACTTTCAAAAGACTTCAGAAAGGTTAAATAGCTACATCTATAGAAAAAATTAGAAAACAAGTTTAAAAATATTTTTAAAAGCCAAGTTTTCTAGATGTTTAGAACTCCATAGTTCAAGGAATACCAGACAGCAATTCCTTAAAATAAGTACGTCTTTTTCCAGTTGCAGACAGTCCTGGCCCCCTCCAAAGTATCTTTTTGCCTTCAAATCCAAAATATGGCACAGTCTTATTCATCATCATGCTTTTACTATTTGCCTTTTTATAGCCTTATAGTCTCTATAACATCCCCAAATATTACAGAGCCCCATTATTTTCACAATATGTCCCTTCTATTAAGATGTGAAAAGCAGTTGTGATTTTGAGGTAATACTGCACTCTTCTCTTACCATGATAATGTCTCCTGGCTGGACAGTGATTTCATCATGGCTTCGGGATTCAAAAGGATACAGAGCTCGATAATAAACTATTTTTACATCTTCCTGAGCAGAAAAAGTTAGTGGAGCCTTTTCTAGATCCACAAAAACAGATGTGTTGTTTTTGAATTATATCACAAGAGACAAATTTAATTTGCATGCAACAACAACATTCGTATTCACATTCTCAATATAATCTAAAATTTTGCTATAGCAGAAGCAGAATTCAAGCATTCATTTAAACACAATTTACTATATGAGGATAAACTGCAGATTGCAAAATACATTCACAACTTTCTAAATTAGTGGGGGTTTTTTTCTTGATGTTACTTTAACTTTATTTAATCACTATACTGTACATAAATTTGTTAGCTATGTTTTTGAATGGTGTTTTCATTATATGTATTTACTATTTTAATAAAAAACAAAAACTAATCACAACCATACTATAAAATTCAGATGCTACTATGTGAAAAAAAAAAGATGTGCTTGTACCAAGTAAGAGTGTTCACTGAAATGTCTAATTAGGAGGACAGGTCTTCTATCAATCAATAAATTGAACAATGTGCCATTTACATCATTTGCCCAATGATGTCATCATTCAAATGGTGCATATAACAAGTGACTACATTACCATTCAAATGAAATAAAACAGAGTAAAGCTGTTCCATAGCATGTGAAGCCTCTTGTACTGAGGTCTGTTAAGCTGAATTTTCGCTGTATATAATTGGTGTACACAAGCATGAAAGTGTGACATCAAAATTATATTTAAAAATAATCAAACCAACTTCATCTAAATAGAAATTTGGCGAAAGGAAAAGAAGAAGCAAAAGTGAATTTTTTAATTTTTATTTTGGCTGTATCTCCTTTTGAGTGTGCTGTTCTTATGTGAGTACTGCATTCAACCTAAGTTGGTTAAAAGATTGTATTAGCATTGAACTATATTTGGTGGGGGGGTGGAAGAACTATTTTTCATTGAACCCCCCAAAAGAAGCTTCCTTTATAGGAAGACAAGCATGCATACAAATAGTTTAAGTTATGGGAAAAATTAGGATATCAATAGAAGTTTTAAATGGTATTTCTGAAATAGTAAACTTGAATGTATTTTAATATAGTTCTAGGTTTAGTTTAGAGACTTATAAATAAACACTGAAGCTCTATTGTGCATTGGAAAAAACAAGGTAATTTGTAATGCTTCTAGTTTAATCTGCTTCTAATTTGCTTCCAGTTTAATCTGCTTGCTTCATAGTAATAATTTATTGAAAATGAAATATTTATTATTCATTGCCTCGACACTGGTTCCAAAATGCATCTCAAAATGATTTACACTGAAAATTAAAAATGCATTCATAAAAATAAATATAAAAATATATTCAATTACTGTTTGGAAAATGTCAACTATCCAATTTTCAGTCAACAGAGTATACCACAGTATATGAAGAGAAGAACATAAGATTTTATGAGCATTTAATTTGAGTATTCCATTATTTTGTACCTGCAGTTGACCAGGGAGCTTGGATAGTTGGTTTTATTGAATCTTTATGGTGATGAAAAAATTTATTCATTTTTTCTTGTACTTCCTGTTTGTTTTTCTCATCGTTTTCTTTCTTTTTGTTTAATTCTTCCCATTTTTGTTTTTCTTCCTCTTGATTTTTTCTTGACCTTGAATGTTCTTCTTCCTGTTGTATTCTGTCAAGCCACGGTCTTTCTCGGTCTTGGGTTTTTCTAATTAGTGCAAACATATAAGTGATATTTAGAAATATACTTAACAAATCATGTCATTGCAGAAATATTTCCTTGCCAGATGCCTCAATGCTTTCAACAATGGCAGAACTTCTAATATATTGCCTTCACTGGAAAAGTTCTTAAAAATTCAGAGAGATATTCAGAGATGTTAGTAGGAGTGGCCTTGGTGGTTCTTTGGCTGGGCTTGTTTGGCAGTTCTTTGATTGGGAAATTGTTCATTTCTTGATTGATGGTCCCAGCAACACTGACAGGGCAAGCCACTAGAATATTAGTTGAGAGCAAACCCCATTCCTTACTAGCACTGATGTTATTATCTAGTTTGGGTAATGAAGCATCTACAAGAAAACAATCAAGCTCAGAAAGCACCAAGAACCCTCCCCCCCAACACACACACACACAGAGTTATCGTTACCTTGAATCTAATATAGCAAACAGATAATCAGCTATCTAATATTCAAGTAAAGTTAAATTCATCTTCATCGAATATAATTATGCACACACACACAAACACACATACACACACTGATGTACAACAGTAAGAAAAATAAATAAAAATTGAATGTGTGATAGTTGGAGCCCGGGTGAGAAACTGCTTTTGATCATTTGTATGGTATCATCTGGTTCCTCAGAGAAGCCACACTTTAGCCATGCACTTCCAGGAAAATTCAAATTTAAATTAAGGAAGCACTGCTAGTTTGTTAAATATATGTCTCTATCAGTACTTTTCTGGAAAATACTAAAATTTGACACAATTTATTTCAAAGAAACAAAAAAAGAGAATTATACATTCATGCCGAAAACCAAGCTACTTCTAAACATGAACAAATTAGTCCTTCCAGAGTATAAATAACAGATTGTTCAAGATTTTGATTAGCCCCTTTCATGAATCAATGTGTTTTCCAAATTAAGCTTACCTCTGGTTTTCTTTCTGTTTTTCCAGGTCTATTTTCCTGTCCTGCTCTTTCTGTTTTAGTCTGTCAGCTTCTATATTCTTTTGCTTCTGTAGCTGCTGCTTGTTATGTATTTCCCTCAAATCCTGCAATAATGAAATGGTGGGTTACTATATAGTGCACAGGGCATTTTAAACAGTTCCTTGGTTCTCAGGATGAAGACCAAAAGCTCATCCAAAATAATCAAACTAACTTTAAATTTTATATAATCATCTTACTTCAAAGCTCATTGTAGTATAATTTTATATTTGCTATAGTTATTAAATTGCTTTAGGTTTGATCTTGACTGTCAAACCTAAAAGTTTGCTGTTTTTATTGAACAACCTGAAATGACAAGAATTGTTTATAAAAATCTACATGACTTATCACCTTAAAGTCTAATTTACCAAAAAAAGAGTATATATATATATATAGCAAACGACCAAGCTCAGAAAGCACTAAAGATTCCACAATTCAAATTCAACTTATTTGCTTTTGTTTCTGAATCTGAAGTGCTTGTACATCCTCAAAATTCTCAAAAGTTCCATTGGCTTCTCTGCAAAATGCTGTTAATTCGCTGCATCTTATTCTTATTGGTCACTTAGGATAATCATTTTCAAACATTATTTCTCTTACCTTTGAGATGGATATCTAAAAGGTAGCTCTGGATCTGATGTGCTATCAATAACCATCAGAATAATTTTTATAATCTCAAAGTCTGATATTCTAGAACAGGGGAGTCAAACACAAGACCCGCATGCTGGATCCGGCAAGCGGGTGCTTAGATCTGGCCCATGGGGATGGTCTGGAAAAACCAAAGGACCGGCCCACGGTGCCTCTGCCAGCAAAAATGGGGCATGCGCGGGGTACGCCCCTCCCGCAACCACTTTTGGCCTCTAGAGTCGCCCAGGAGGCTGTCCAGTCCCCAAAAAAGGCCTCCAGAGCAGTGGTCACCAACCAGTAGTGGTCCGTGAGAAAATTTTGGTGATCTGCAGAGAAATGTCACCCCCAAACGCAATTAATCCAGGCTGTGTGAGAATACAAGGCTGTGCTGCCCACATGGCCTGTGGGAACACAAGACTTGCATCTCTTGCATTGCAAACAACACGAGGTAGTGAGGGGAATGGGGAAAGGGTGGAGGGGGGAACTTGCCCCACTCACCCCACATACCTTGCCTGGCCACTGGGCTGCTTCTTTCCGCTTTTTTCTTCTGCTTTTGGCTGCACACTGTAAAGAACAAAAGTCTTTCTTTCTCTCCCTGAAATTCTGCCAGAAATGAGTCTTTGGGACCTTGCAAGGCATCCTGCTCCAAGAGGCTGCGCCAGTGCAACAAGTCTCACAAAGACTCATTCCTGGAGGAGTTTGGGGGAGAGAAAGAAAGACGTCTGCTGCTTTCCTTGCATGAAGCCAAAAAACTCTCTCTCCCCCTGAGAATGGAGCTGGAGACAGTATCATATGATCCCAAATAAAGAATGTTCGGTCGGTAGAAAAACTGGGTGGGGAATTTTCCTGCAGACTTTTTTTTTATATTTTTCCAAGGTCTCTGGTCTGCGGGATTTAAAATTATGAGTTTGGTGGTCCCTGAGGTGCAAAAGGTTGGCGCCCCCTGCTCCAGAGTCCTTCGGGTAGCCTTCCAGGCCCAAAAAGAAGCCTCCAGAGTGATCCAGGTGGTCTTCCAGGCCCAAAATGGGGCCTCCAAAGTGCTGCAGGAGGTTGTCCTTGACTCAGAAGGTTATAAAACGGAAAAGTAAAATATTTTTCCTTTCAGGTTTGCAGGATTCTGCTACTAAAGCCTATGTCAACAATCTATGGTTCTAGTCTTCCATGGAGTCAGTTTCTTGATCTGGTCTCTCTCTCATAAGGTGATCACGTAGATCAAGTTAAGTATTAAAAAAACAAAATCACAGAAATATATGCCTCCTTATTTTTGTAAAGTTTATAAAACTTTACAAAACCACCTGGCCCTCCAAGATCAAACCCGATCCTTATATGGCCCTCAATAAAATTGAGTTGGACACCACTGTTCTAGAATTATCACTAATTTATGTTCATATAGGATATGGTCTGTCAAGTCTCAACAGTACTGTACTAAAATAGTCACAATTCTAGTTTTACCATCTTAACAATGCATAACAAATATGAATTCCTAGAATGTTAAAATCTGTCAAAATACATTAACAGAATTTGGGTATAAAGTTACAGCAATATTCTAATAACAACCAAGAAAATAGTTTCTCCTTATCTAATCTTGGTTATTTTTTTCTGCCAACCTTGTTCACTTTTTTCTAAAAGAAAAATGTAAACACACTACAAATTTTCTCTTTAGGGAAGCTGCTCAGCCCCTTAATAAATGTTCTTATTATAAAATTAACATTAATACACTGAACATGTCAATCAAAAACACAAATTCCAAAATCTGTAAAATTAAAACAAGCAAGAAGTACACATCAAACAGCACTGAAGACAACTTAAGGAAAACAAAATAATTGTAGTAGTATTTCTATTTAAGTGCAATAATAATGTATAATATATTTTCTATACTTAGCTCAGATATTCATCATCTGCAGTTATTAATTGGATCGGTCTCAATCTGTTTTTCTTGTTAATAGCAGAGAGCAGGTCACACGATGGGATCAGCAGGGAACTACAGGAGAAGGGTCAAAGAGCCGCATGTGGCTCTAGAGCCGTGAGTTGCCGACATCCATACTAGACAGACAAGTTACTAAATACTTAGAAAGCTAAATGGGCAGTTATTGAACAGGTCAGGACTAGCTTTAAAAAAAAATCACAATTGCCTGGTTTAATTCTCCAGGATTGTCCAGGAATGCAATATTGATAATTGTCATAATGCTTTTAGCATCTTATCTAGTGCGTATCTTATCTTCAGAACAGCTTAATTTAAAAAAAAAATTACAGAGAGGAATGAATATTTTAGAAATACTAAAAAAGCATGATGACAATAACATACTAATATTACATTCTTGGACAATTTTGCTCTGATGGTACATAGTATCTTAAATCCATATCTTTAAAGAATTAAACCAGTCAAATGAGGTTCTGATATTTAAAAAAAAACACCTATTCTGACCTTATTAATAATTGTGCATTTAGCTTTCTAAGAATTCCTAATTCTTAGAGGTGCAGTCAGCCTCAAGATCTCTTCAGCTACCCTACCTGCTATCTATCTCATTTATCTCTCTCATATCCTATCTACTGTATCTTCTCTACTGCTAGGCTTAATTCTTTTGGCTGTCATTAGCAACGGGGGGAGGGATAATTGTGGGGGGAAGAGAGCTGGAGGTGTTTTGCATTCCTTTACTGTGGGTAAGCAAAAGGAGGGGGTGTATGATTTCTTCTTTTCAACTTTCCATTTCCTTGCTAGCTTCTATCTCTTTTTGTGCAGCTGCGAAGTTTTATCAAAATATGTCAAGGTCAACGGACAGAGGCCTCATCACCACCTGAAGATGCCCACATGATCATATTCAGAACTTTTAATTGGAAGAGACTTCTGGACTTTGGGGGGTGGGAACAACTCCATTCCTTTGTATATGTGATCTGCGCGCCAAATTCTCAGATTTGGAATTCCATCTGTAGCTTCCACTTTAATTTCCAGTAAAAGAATAACTTTGCTCTGATCCATGGAGTCTGGGTATTCTTTCTTGGATTCTGAAGGGAGCACACACTGACATGCATTCAAGCATAAGGCGAATATGTTATCTTTTGGGACTCTCAGACTTTTATGGGAAGAATTTTCAAGGGCACTGGGAAATGCTAACATTTTGCCAATAATACAATCAGCATCATTTTTTCTGTCCTCTTACATTTTTATCATTATAGCATATTTTACCACCAAAAACATATTCAATCTGAAAACAGGGACCAGGTCTTTTTTTTATTTAATTAAAACCGGATATACATGCTCACATCTATTTTCACAATTTATTCTGCAAATGGTGAAGTTGAAGTTTATTACTTAATTATAATATAACTTAAACCTGTTTACCTTTAGTTGGTTGTTGAAAATATCTATCTCCTGAAGTTTTGACCTGGTTTCTTTTTCTACTTCATCTAGCTGGTTACGAAGCTGCTGGCATGCTAACTCCTTTGCTTCTAAAGCTCTTTTGACAGTGAGAAATGAATCTCCTATTTAAAAAATACAAATAATGAATATTTTAAAAAAGACTCTCCAGATTCAGTGATTCTTAAATGGAATGATCTTACAGTATGTATATTTCTGCAGGCAGAGAATCATTTTTAAATGAACTTACGATGCAAGCTGTTCTGCTGAACTTGTTTTAACTGGTCATTGAGTAACTGTTTTTCTGGAATCAACCTTCCAAGCATTTGCTGAGATTCCTAAAAGAAATAACATGAGAAATGTTGTAACTGTAACCACAAGTACCATATCACAATTGCTTCATCATTCGCCAAAAACCACTTTTCTGAGAAAACAGTTCCTTAAGCCTGCTAAAAAAGAAAAGCCACTGTGTTCTCCAAATATTTTTCCCTATTTTATGTCACAGCTTCCTCTTGTAACACAATAGAATAAAGCAAGAGAATAGAAGATGATGTCTAGGATTTCTACACGTGTTATTGCTATCACTTTGAAAAATTCCATAGAAAATCTTGAAAACAAATTGGTTTTACTAACGAAGAATACCATATCAAAGATAACATATTTCCTTTGAAGAAACCTGCTTAAATTACAGCCAATTTTTCACAAATAAAGATTTTGAAGAGTTTTTTTTTTCACACCTAAGTCTTCCTTAGACTCGTTTCACTGGAGTTCTTATTAAAACAGAACAGTACTGTGACAGGGAAGAGCACTTGTCATTATCAGTAAGCCAAATATGAGTGCATGCCTTTAGAAACAAAAGGTATTTAGTACTTAGAAATTCCAAATAATTTTGGTGAAAGAGTAATTGTATAGGGTTCAACCAGTGTAATAACTATAATCTTTGCCAATTAACTGAACTATTCTGCTTGAATAGTTGAATATGAAAAATGCATATTCTAATAGTTAATATTTGTGTTATGACAATTTAAAAATATTTCAGTTCTTGATACTTCAACCACTAACAATTATCTGCAAAGGTTACTAAATATAGTCTCTGAAAGATACTTAGGGAAATGCCTGCAGTATAAAGCAGGCAATAGTAGAAGAAAAACATCCAAATTAAGAAATGACAGCATTTTAAAGTGAAAATTTGCCTGAAATCCCAGAAGTCACATTTTTTGCTTCAGAAAACCAGGGGACCAACCTCAAGTATCTTGTGGGAATATTTTTTTTAAGGCACACTTGCTCCTAGGCAGCATAATTTAACAGCTACTGAACTTAACTGAATTTCAGTATCAGAATAGATTCTGTGGGACGTGGGAAGAAAACTACCCCATCGTGTGCACTGGCTTCTGGAGAAAAAAAATGGGAAACAAATTAGTTTATTTCCCTAAGATACTGCTTATTTTCACTGTTGCCACATACTTATTGCCTAACACATATACTAATTAAGCAACTAGTATATTCAACTCTCATAAATTAAGTCCCATTCTTTCATACAAGAAGACATAAGATATAATTTTAAACATTTTTTAAAACTATAAACTTACCTGTAACTGCTGCTGTAAATGTGTGATTTCTGCAATCCTCAGCTCTCTAGATTTGTTTGTGCTCTCAATTTCTTGCCTCTGAATAGCCAATCTGCATCTGATATCCTGAAGCTTCCCTTCCAGTTGATGTTTTTTATCATTCTTCAACAGAAAAAGAAAATATTGGTTTATTCAGGTTTTAATTGAAATGCAAAACAGGTTGCAAGTTCTTTTAGTTAGACCTCTAAGCTGAAAAAGATTCATTTTTCTGGTCATAACCTCTTGAGTTCAGTCTACAAAAAGAAAATATACTTCTTTTAGATGGAGAATAAATAAAATGCAATTACAAAAAGAAAGAAAGAAATAGAAAAAAATTGTAAATTGTAAAAGAAAGGAAATTAACAGTATTTTTTGAAATCTATCTAAATAAAGATATTGATTTAAGAATGGCCTGAGATGCAGATAAAATGTTTATTAGAGGATATTTCATAGAAAATAATACTGAACTTAAAAAGAATCAAGAGAGAATCCAGATTACTTTAGATGATATAAAAAGAATTAAATAAACCTGCAAGAAAGATAAATATCTCTCATCAAATTAAACTCTTACAGCAAGAGTTATAGATATTGAAGGTAAAAGAAATGTAAAAGGAACTTAACAGAAAGCAAAAACAAATCTTCAGTTTGCAAATAAATCAGGGAAATGGCTAGCATCCAAATTAAGAAAAGAAAAAAATGATATTGAAACTTCAAGAGAAAGATACTGTATTCATGGATAATACCAGTGGTGGTATTCAGCCGGTTCGCATCGGATCAGGAGAACCAGTAACAATAATTTGGCGTGGGTCGCCGAACTGGTAGCGACTTCTGGCTGGTGGTATGGCCTCCTGCTTGCTTTCCTGGGCTTTCTCACATCTCTTTTCCTCCTTTCCCCAACCTGCATCTTCAGCGCTTGCCCAGGAGGTGAAGAGCTGGGGCACCAAGTAAGTCACCTAGAGTCTATCCTTCCCGCCCCCCCAGCCCTGTATCTATCTTGCCACCGAGGGCCAGACCGAATGCAAAATGCGCATAGCCTCGGCTCCCCAAGTCTAGATTGCTGGACACTGTCTGGGGGCGTTTGTGCAGCCCTTGTGGTATCTGCTGCCACACATGAGGTTTTAGCTCACTGGATGTTACTGGCTTTCCTGGCTTCCTGTGCTGGATTGGAATGCCCCGTTTTCTGGGAGTCAGCGGGGCTGCAGACAATGGAAGGCCTCCTCTTGATCAGGAAAGGGAACTGGGCTGTGGGGTCCCACTGAGGCTGAAGGAAAAAGTGGCATTGGGCTTTTTGTGAAAGGAGGAAACATGAAACATTTCGTCCCCTGGGAGAAGCTACTGGCAGCGGAGTGCTCTGACTGGGAGGGCAAGATCCCGGCTGCCTCTCATAGCAGCACCCGCTGCAGCAGTGCCTCTGCCGCCCTCCCAACCAGGTGTGTGTGTGTGTGTGTGTGTGTGTGAGAGAGAGAGAGAGAGAGAGAGAGAGAGAGAAACTATATGGAGCAGCTGAAAAACACATCTTAAATACAAGATGTTATAAGATGTAAAAAAAGGAAGAGGATTGGGTTTACCTGTTTAAAATTATATTTTGTGGTTTATTGTTTAGTCTGGCTGAAAGAATGGATGCTATTGAAAAACAAAAGGCTTTTGGAATTAGGATACAATTTCTAATTTGTGTAGCATGAATATTTATGATACAACGAAACTAAGGTTGACGTAGACCATAAAATATTGTTTTGTTAGACATGCCATATTCAGAATATAGATTAGATATAAAACTAGATTGTGCCCAAAAGTACTTTTGTGGCTCTCAGCACAAGAAGCATTTTATAGAAGAGAAATGATAGTAAATACAAATAGTTAACTTGCTCTGATATATTAGAATTTTGCCAAGGAGACTGTAAAATATATTTAAAATGTTTGCCTTCCTTTATCTTTAATCTTCAGTTGGGTGAAATAGGGCAACAGTTTTAAATCAAGGTACTTTAAATGGTACCAGCAGACTAGAATACTTTTTGCTCAGGGTTGAACTGTGGGGTCCTTGGTGCTCTCCGAGCTTGGTTTTCTTGCAGACGCTTCATTACCAAACTAGCTAACATCATCAGTGTACACCAAGCTCAGAGAGCACCAAGGACCCCACAGTTCAACCCTGTGCAAAAAAGTATTTTCTTCTGTGGTACCATTTGAAGTACCTTAGTTTAAAATTTTGGACACTTTCTATAAATTAGCCCTCTTGAAGAATGGGATCCTTGATGTTCTCTGCACTTGGTGGTTTTCTTGCAGATGTTTCATTATCCAACTAGATAACATTATCAGTGTACACTAAAACCACTAAGCTCAGAAAGCATCAAGGATCCCATTCTTCAAGTGGGCTAATTTATAGAAAGTGTCCAAAATCTGGGACCATGACTCTCAGAGGATTAAAATGTCACAAATTTGTGACTGCTTCAGTGTTGTTGCATTGCTGTGTCAGTGCTGCTATCTGGAGATTCAGTAGATTGATCTCTCCTTCAGCTATCTGAGATTAGATTGGCTAGTCTGACCCTAGCCTTCTTCAGGCCCAGTAGACGAGTCCCATCATCAGCTGTTGGAGGATTGTCAGCTGCAATCAAGCTGGCAAGAAGTCGGAAGTCACACCTGCTTTTTTGCCCATGTTCATTTCAGTTTCTCTGTTTAAAAAAGAGATATGAAGGAAATATCTCTGAAATGATGACTCAGTGGGTCATGGGTTGTCTAGTGCAAAATAAAATCAAGAGAAAGAGTTGGAGGTGGAAGGATACACGTGTCAACAGTTTTCCTATGTACAATTGCTGGAAAGATGTAAAGTAAATAAGAGAACTTTTGATTCTGAACAGTGTAAGACTGAATTTGAAACAGAATTGTGTACAAACAATGAACATGTTATTATTAAAATATATAAACTTTTATAAAATATGTGAACGAATGTATGATAAAATGGCCTAAAATCATGATTCAATAATGTATACAAATGGAACAATGGGAAAATATGTAGTTGAAAGGAGTGAAATTTTCATTATGTTATAATCTTAAAAATATTTTTTATAAAGTGATGCATTGTTGGCATATGTCACCAGAAAAATTCTTGAGAATTATAAAGGTACTTCCAATTTATGCCAGAAAGCCAACCAAGAAAAGATGCTTTATCATGCTTGATGAATTATGTCAAATCCTAGAAAATTGTGGACTCAATTACATATATTAATACAACACAGGAGAGATTAAAGAGCAGTATGCAATTGAAACCAGATACCTTTGTTTTTGGACTGATGGATAAAAAGTTTACAACAAGATTATTACAAGCACAAAGGGGGGAAAATTCAGTTTTACCCACAATGGAGGAATAAATAGTGAATGTGATGAAACTTGCTGAGATGGCCAAATTGGCAGCTTTGATCACAGAAAATATATTATCTAAGTTTAATGCTGACTTTCACTTTTTCCCCTTCACTTTTTGCATGAAATAAAAAAATGAAATTATGTTTTGATGATTAGAAAAAAATTATAGTAAAAAATCTATAATTTTGAAAGTATCCGGCAAATATTCTCACTTACTAAAGCTTCCAGTTCAAACTCCAAAGTTTTTTTCTTAGCTTTCAAAACAACTATATCTTCTTGTTCTTTGTTTCTTTGATTCAGCAATTCTTGACGACGATTACGTTCCCACTCAAGTTGTCTCTGCCTTTCCAGTTCTCTTTTAGCAGCCTTCATTAGATTAGTTTAAAAATATGAAAAAATATGTTCACTTTGTAGTTCTATTAAATAAAAAGTTCCAATTTATATAATAATGTATAATACTGTATACATTAATAGTTGTATTCATACAAACAGTGCAGATATATGTCTCCCTGTCATCTTCCTAACACAAAACTAGATATTACATAAGTCCTGGATTTCCTTGGATCTTCACTCTAATTAAAATAAGTTTTAATTACACACTTGTGTGGTTATGCAAATTAACTCTCTCCAGGAATGCACAATTTAAGAATTTAAGAAAAGTAGTTAGATTAGAAAGTTCCTATCCATCCAAATATTAGTATGTTAGTTCAAATGTTATTCTACAAAACAAAAGATTAAAGGTAGAAAGTAGGTTACAAAGCAGAAGAATGAAAAACAAAAACATTTTATCTATTAAAGTGAACAAAGTCAAGATAGCTAATAACTAAATTAGTACACTAATTTAAAAAAATCAAGCAATTTGACAATCAGGCAAAACCTGTTTGAAAGGCACAGATCAACATTCTAGAAAGGTTCTAGCAATTAAGTAATAATAAAAGCAACTCTCAAATATTATTTGATATAAATTTGATTAAAACTTATTTTAATCAAATTTATATTTGACGTTGCCAAACACTGTCCCCTGGTAGCAAGAAACATAGTGAGGTAAACATGTGAGGTAAACAATGCCTTCTTAGATACTCACTGTCCTTAAATTCCAAGCTGACAAGGATTTTTTAATGTTTCAGTATCAGACCATTCATTTACACTTAAAAGATAAGCAGTGGGCAGCAATAGTTTAGATTCAGTGCAATATAAAAGTCAAAGTTTACATCGTCAGGATTTAGATCCAAGTTAAGGAACCAATACTTAAATGTACCTTTCCTGACATGTTGTTGCAAAAACACTAAATGATACCTTCCCCCATTTTGCAAAATATTTCATTTATACAATTTTGAAAAGGAAACAGAAAAAGAAATACAATATATGTATTTCCCAATATAAGTTTTCAACTATAATTTTGACAAATGAGTGTTCCTCTGAAAATATTTATTTACCTCACGCCTTTCTATTTCTTTTCTCCTTTCCTCTTCCCTCTGGCGTTCCAATTCTCTTTGTTTTTCTAATTGTTTTTCCAATTCCAGTTGCCTTTTCCGCTCCTGCTCTTGCCGTTCACGTTCCTTCCTTTCTTGCTCTGCCCTTTCCAACTGTGCAAGGCGCTCTTGCTCTTTTCTTTGTTGTTCCAAAAGAGCTTGTCTCCGCTTTTCAAGCTCTAGATTGCCACGTTCAAAGTTCTCACGTTTTTTATCTTCAAATGTAACTTTTAAAACATGTTACAATTAGAATTCAGATGTGTTTTGTGCATATATAAACCTGAAGTTATATAGTCTATCTGTAACAAACTTTAAAATTGTAAAACCCTATGTACAAACGCCTGATCTTTATTATTCTTGTAAATGGCTATATACAAGGAACACAATATTCCTTAACACTTTACATTTAAATAATGCTAAGGACACTTCATAAGTGATCATTTGTCTTCCATGTACCCCAGTAGGCAATCATAGACCTTGAGCAAAATTTCTTACCATGCATTTCTCCTCTATATGTCACAACCATTATATATACTGTATACTTAATGCTATCAAATGGGAATTGGCCTCCAGCAAATAGATACTATCAGTTATGATTTGTGAAGCAGTAATTGGGTTACTAAAATTGGAATGATGAATCATACAATGAACACCTTTACTAATAAGGACTCCCAAATTGAAAAAAAAACACTCTGGCATGATCTTCATAATGCTGACACTATCATAGTACAATTCTTTCTGTTGGTGCAAAAATAATGTTGGAAATTCTAAATAATGTTGAAGAAATCATTTTCATGGCAATCTACTCTGCTGCTGTAATGACTGTTTCTGAAATAATGTGAGAAACAGTTGCATTGCAATTATGATGATAGAAAAGTTAAAGTGAAAAATATTATTGACATGACCTCTGCAAATACAGTTTTTGTGTTCTATTTCACATAATCTCTTTGAGATTTTCTCATATCAACAAACACTGAAATAAAGGGTTCTTGGTTTAAATGCAACCTATGTATCACACAATGTAATTTCCACAAAATACAACATATTTCTTAATTTCAATTAAACTCTGGTTTTCCGGAATGTAGTATCTTTCAAATATAGGCAGCCCAATTTTACTCATTTACATTTTCACTCACCGGGCAATTTCTTTTCCAGTTGCTGCTGTTCCTCTTCTAATACTGGTTCTTCTGGTAACCGTTGCTCTACAGACATTGAACTAGTGACAGATACACCACTGCCAGAACGAACTCTTCTATTAATAAAGAAGTATACATCAAAATATATGCCCACACAAAGCTACTGTTATTCATTCTAATATTGTCTTTTTTATTTCCTACCCAACTATGCAGATAACTACTTTAAAGGTTAAAGTTTAAGACCATTAAACCTAAATAAACTGCAGGGCAGGACATTCACTGGAAGCTAATACAATGGATGGATTCAACTTACAAAGCCATTTGTTTGAAACAATATAAAAGTCTTGTCTGCAACAAGACTGTATGTGTTCATGATTTGGTAGTGAACAAGCAGGATGAACAGCCATGCATTACTGAGACCTGGCAGAGGCAGGAAAACAATGCTTCCATCTATTAAATTTGCCCATCTGGTTTGCAGGTTCTGCACCAATAAGAATGTCAGAGAGGGAAGATGGCATTGATCTAGTGTAACTTCTCATCTGTGGCAGAATACCTTTCTATACAGTTATGCTCTAGGGCAGTGATGGCTAACCTTTTTGGCACCGAGTGTCCAAAGCATGCCTGTATGGATCCTGAAAATGCAATGTGCGTGTATCCCTCATGCATGTCCCCCGCCCCCACATACGTCTTCCCCCTCGCAGGCATGTATGTTCCCTGCACAAACACCCCACCCCCGCGCATGCCCCTGCATTCCCCTCCCTGCGCACATGTCCCACATGCACCTCACTCCCACACGTGTGACAGAGACCCAAAGGCCAACTGGCTGGAGGGTGGCATGCATGCGCATGCATGGCAGAGCAATGGCTCGCATGCCACAAAGAGGGTTCTGTGTGCCACCTCTGGCACGCATGCCATAGGGTCGCCACCACGGCTCTAGGAAAAAGCTGGGAATCCTTTTATGTACCAGGGTAAGACACTAGGCAAAGAAACAACTCCACAAGAAATTTGTGATTTATTAAAAGTAGGTGACCCTAGTACACAAAAGAATCTCTAGCTTTTCCCTACAGCACAACTGCACAGAACTTGTTTTGGACTTAACCATATTTATTTTGGCACATTGGCAATGGATCTGGCCTATCTTCGTCTTTCTTTCTTTACAACTGGCTGCATTACTGGTCGAAAATCCCCCCCTGAATTCCCAGGCCTGGTTGTCAACTTGTTGATGAATACCTCTCTTCTATGTCAATACTGTAGATTAGTTTTTTTCAATCTCTAGGTGAATATTACTGGGTTGCGTTGGATACTGGGCTGTGCAAATGGCGGGCGAGGGCACAAAGCTCCATTTGCACATCCCCTTTCCCCTCCAGTCTGCAGAGCTAGAAAGGTAACCTTTATGACCATGCCCTAGGTTATCTTGGCACTAACACACATGGGTTGGCCACATGTTTGGCCTGGTTTTCATCTCTTAGCAACTGCTTCGTGAGCTGGATGTGGGGGACACAATGATCTGATTATATAATGATCTGATCACTTTCTGATTCACATGCAGTGGACTATTACTGGCTTTCCTCTGCCAGGCTGTATTCATTTGAATGATTCTACCAGGCCACTTATGAATCCATCTGTTTTCTGAAGTAATTGGGTATTTCCCCAATGATCTGGCAGGCAAATTGTTGATGGCCTAATTCAAGACTGGTGTGAAGTGGCATTTTAAACATCAAGTTGTTCCAAGAGACTTCTCTCTGCTGACTGATTCCAGATGGCCCTTGGTTTTCCAAGGACCTATGGTAGAGGAAGCAGCAGAAGCAATGCCTGTGGTGCAGAAGAAGGCTGAGACTGAATTTGATCAAGTACAGACACATGCTTAAATTGGTCCTATTCTTTGGTGGTAAAGCAGGCAAAACATTCTCTTATTATGTTTCAGGCCCTATTAGATGGTCAACTCCCTTTTTTATAAGTGCTTCTCTGATGATTTACCATTTGACCGCTTTGACAAGTTTGCCAATAAAGTCATTCAAATTTGCCCTTATGGAGACTCTACTTGATTGGAGTCTAGGTGATGACTGGAGCATTATCTTTCCAGGTTATTTATTCTTTGAGGGAAGAATAGGGTGCTCTGTAGGTTCTCTTGACCATATGGGCTGTGGATTTTTGCACCTCCTGGACTGTTTGGATAACTAGGGTGGGACTTTCCTGGATTTGGGAGGCTGTCTCATTGTGGTAGGGGCCAATACTGGCAGCCTTTATAAAAAGGGATTGGTTCATCTCTTCTTTAAGAGACTCTAGAGATAATAAACTATTACTGTCCAGTCTCTAATCATCATGTTTTGGTAAAGTTTGTTCAAATGCTGGATTTATGACCAATTACAGAGTCCACTAGAAGAAGCAGAATATTTGGACTCTTCAGTCAGGATTCAAATCTAGGTACAGGACAGAGACAGCATCAATCACTCTATTTAATGAATTCTGTTTGGTCCAAATGAGGGTACTTCAATTTAGTAATTTAATTTAGTAATTTGACAACTACATGAAATCTTAAACAGGCTTAAACTTAACAGTAAGATAGAGCTATTGTTATTCTAAGGCTGTTTTGCCTTTATATGAGATTCCACTGCTCTTGAAGGAGCATGCCCAAAATCTGAGGGTCCTTTTGGACTCACAGCTTTTGTTGGATGGAGGTGGTAGTGGAGGGGGGAGGCTTTGCCCAGCTTCAGTCTTGTGCGCTAATTGCCACTTCATTTGGTGAAGTTGCCGGATTTAGCTATTGTCGGATTTAACTATTGTAACAAGCTTTATCAAAACCACTCAAAAACCACTTCAGTTGATGTAAAATTCAGTGGGCTGTATTCTAACAAATGTTTGCCAGTGGACACACATTACACATGCCATGTGAGCCTTGCAATGGATTGTTAGTTTCTGGATGCAATTTAGCATGCTGACTTTAACCCATAAATTATGGCTTACTGACTTATTTGCTTGCTTGCTTGTTTATTCCAAAGTCTTATATGGCTGCCCATTTTGTAAAAAGGCTGGGTAGCTTGATATCAGTTTACCTTCAGTACCACATCTCCCCATTAGAGTCAGCCTAATTGTGCTGGATTTACTGGTTAGGGGGCCAAAACCCATAATCACTGTATTTCCATTATGGGGCTGAGCCTGTCAAATAGCTTTACATTGGATGTCAGTTGTCCCCATTCTTATCTGTCTTCTGGAAAAAGTAGAAAACAGGGCTTTTCTTCAGGATTTTTTTTTAAAGGAGGGGGGGGATACAGGGTATTACCTTCTTGGGTTTTATATAGTGACAGTCTGTTTATGATTGCAGTATAATATAAAATTGATTAACAAATTTATATGAAAAAGACATCTCTCTAAATTAGAAGAAATGTCAGGCTTGGACATTATATTCTTTATATAGTAAAACTATCTAATGTACAGCAAAATCATGAGTAGAATTCCAAAGATAAAATTCAGCATCCAAATGAAAAGCTGTAAATTTTACCTAAATGAAGGGGGAATATATTCTGGGGATAACACAGGTGGCAATGGCTGTCCTGACATAGCCATATCGATTAAATGCATAGCTAGAATAAACTCTTCTGCTGTCAGTTTTCCATCTTGATCAATATCTGAAAGATTCCTATTAAGGAGGAAAAAAGAGTTAAGTACATTTTCACTTATTTCTTTTTCTATCAATACTAAACCGAGAAGAAGGAAGAGACTATGTTCTTAGTGCTCCCAGTTACTTTACGCAGGGATCACTCATTAAATAATCTATGTGCTTATGCATATACTGCTTTTTCTGTCTCCTTTTGCATTTAATCCCTTCATCCTATTTTCTTCCTGGCATCACATAGCTATTATTAGAGATGTACTACTCTTTACTTCCAAATTTTAAAAAGTGGTTTGAGAGAGGAAAGATATGCACAGCATACCTGTTGGCTTTATCTTTTCCTAGACTTGCATGGTAGCTATTCAATCCCTAGCAAATATACATTTGAATCAAAAAGATGCAAACAATAAGCTCACACTCATGCCAAGGCACTTTCTCTCTAGCTTTTCTTATGTATTTTTAAGCTTCAGATCTAAAGTGTAACATTCTGTTAGATGGGCAAGAGAACATTATGAGGTATGTTTGGAGCAATTCTAAAATAATATATTGAAGTAAGTATCTTTCGGTTCAAAAGTCTATCCTGAAGATTATTGATAATTTAAATCTGGAATAAAGCAAACTAGTGAGACCTGAACAACAAACCGATGATAAACAATTTTATGAAAAATATTTACCATATTGTAGCCAACTGAGCCTGTGGTAAACTTGATTGCATGAGGATAGTTCTTGCTTGTGGACCTAGTAAATGGGAAACATGCCACAATGATACATTTTAATACAGAATTTTCAAAATGATTGCCTTGATTTTATTTATTTTTATTTATTCAAATTTAGTAGCTGCCTAAGTTTAGTAAACTCTGATGAAATTACATTTTACGTATATATACATAGAGATATTTCCATTAATAAAACTTGTTAGTTAAAAAAGGTGTTACTGTCTGATTTCTGCTGCTATATACTAACATGATAACACTTCCATATTATGATTTTTTTGCACAGGACCTCAATAAAAGGTACAGAATGTTCACAGGATAAAGGGGGCTCACATATCAAAACTAAAACTATTTTAGAAAGGTAGAAAACAACTATGATAAATATAACTCAAAAGTTAAGTGACAACTGCTCTAGCTATCTAGAAACAGATGATTTGCAAATACTGCTCCATTCCTGAGCATCACATTCTGGACTAGTTGATATTTTGAACATGTTTCAGAAGGCAATCTTCAATATGTTAAGAGTTAATGCACTTCATGTACATACCATATTTCTTTTTAAGAATACGGATGAAAGCTAAGAAATAAGAGGTTTTCTTTAGAGTTCAATTTCTACTAATAATTTCAGTATTTATAACAGCAAAAAATGAAAAGGGAAATATATCATACTGTTTTCATATGCACAGCATAGATTTACAATCTACTGTTATGATCTGCATTTGAACTAATGTTGTACCACAGTAATGGCAATGCAAAATACTTAATTTTATTTCATCTAACCAAACTATATGTTGTAATGTTGAAATAGTATTAGCCTTAAAAATATTTCACCGAACAATCATAATAAGGGAATGGGAGCAAACAAATGCATGTAAACTTGCCAATGCACCTGCAATAGTGAAAGAGCCCTAATCACATTAACATCTCATTAGAACTCAAATCTGTTCATCCAGCCTGGTCCTCAAGAAACAGTCTACCAAAAGTTCCCTTCCCTTTTGTTACCTTCAAATATGGATATTACAGCAGTCTGTCTCTGTAATAGCTCCCACCTTATGGAATACTTTTGCCATGGAAGTAGGTGGAGCTTTGCAACAATTTTAGAAACAGATTAAAACTTATCCTATACCATACATTTTTGATCCTTACAGGATTATTTTTGTTTGTGGTGATTATTTTTGGGATTTGACTTTGTTTTTAATATCCTGATTATTTATGCTTTTAGATTCTTTTTGCTAATGTTGTATGCTGCTGAGTCTCCTTTACAACTGCTGTGGGGTTGTGAGTATTGTAACAAATAAATAAATGCTTTTAAAACAATATATATATATATATATATACACACACACACACACACACACACACACACACACACACACACACAATATATATATATATTTTATATATATATAAAAAGGTGAGATATTGTTAAACAAGCAATTCTTGTAATTCACCAGAAAGCCAAACTGCTCTATGGAAAAAATAATTTTAAAAGTGTGTTTATCTAATACTATTGACAGAGTTCTTAATTTAAACTTTTTATATTAGTTGCAAAAGCAGCTGTAAGAGGATTTTGGTCCGAAAGATTAAAGTTAAATAAGTAAATAAAACAGCTGAATCAAATCAAAGTCCCACATTGCATAACATATGTTTTCTAAAAGAGACTAAAATAAAAGATGCTGGCTCACTTTTATTTCCCTATAGTTAGCATTCAGAGACATAGCGCTTCTAAATCCAGAAGTTCCCCATCACCAACATCACTAATATCTCATTGATTGGCATGACCTTTTAATCGCTGCATTACACAAATTCCAAAGTATTTAGCAGAATTAATTAAACCAAGCATGTTTTAAAACTAAATATATTTTGAATGTATTTTATTTAAACTGATAGAATTTTAAAAACGTTCATTAAAATGCATGTCCTAGTACCTGTTAAATGTCCACTCATTGTTTTATCATGACTATTGAATAGCTGCCTGTATTTTAGTCTTGATGACTGAGGAACAGCCCACTCTACTGCCAGAGATGCACTGGAATGATAAAATAGAGATAATAAATCATAGCTTCAAGAATACTAAATTCTGGATTAGATTTTTTAAAAGTAAATTTATCTTTGTTTTTTAACATTTTAATACCACAGAAGCGTTCACTTAAGTTGCCATTTTACATCTACCTTGGATCAATAGAATTTATTTCCACAAAGAGGAAGGTATTCTGTGAAAACACCTTAAAAATCAGCATGCCACTCACCAAGTTCTTTTAAAAGTTCAATTTTCATTTTTGCTTTCTATAATGTGGGTTTTTTTAAAGTCCTTTTAGCATTATGCCACAAATATTTATTGTAATGAACCTTTCCATTACCATAAAATGTTCCTTTAATATATATTCATACTTTTCTCTTTTTAACTTTTCGGATTTTCTTCATCATGACCATTTTAAAGCTTCCATATGTTTCCAATATTACTAGTACAATACATGAACAGTAATAAGATCACATCAATAAACATAGTTGTCACCAAATCATTGTACTAGCAGCTTGAAAAAATACTTGATATAAAACACAGATTAAAAGCTTAACATAATAATGTCAAAAAGTAGGTCATACTTTGAACTATGAGACCAGTTCAAGACTCAAACCATGGCATCTTCCAAATGTGTATAAATGTAATACACTGCTCAAAAAAAAAAGGGAACATTTAAACAACACAATGTAACTCCAAGTCAATCACACTTCTGTGAAATCAAACTGTCCACTTAGGTAGCAACATTGATTAACAATCAATTTCACATGCTGTTGTGCAAATGGAATAGACAACAGGTGGAAAGCATAGGCAGTTAGCAAGACATCCCCAATAAAGGAGTAGTTCTGCATGTGGTGACCACAGACCACTTCTCAGTTCCTATGCTTTCTGGCTGATGGTTTGGTCACTTTTGAATGCTGGTGGTGCTTTCACTCTAGTGGTAGCATGAGAAGGAGTCTACAATCCACACAAGTGGCTCAGGTAGTGCAGCTCATCCAGGATGGCACATCAATGCGAGCTGTGGCAAGAAGGTTTGCTGTATCTGTCAGAGTAGTGTCCAGAGCATGGAGGCGCTACCAGGAGACAGGCCAGTACATCAGGAGACATGGAGGAAGCCGTAACAACGCAGCATCAGGACCGCTACCTCCGCCTTTGTGCAAGGAGGGACAGGAAGAGCACTGCCAGAGCTTTAAAAAATGACCTCCAGCGGGCCACAGATGTGCATGTGGCTGCTCAAACTGTCAGAAACAGACTCCATGAGGGTGTTATGAGGGCCCGACGTCCACAGATGGGGGTTGTGCTTACAGCTCAACACCGTGCAGGATGTTTGGCATTTGCCAGAGAACACCTATTGGCAAATTCGCCACTGGCGCCCTGTGCTCTTCACAGATGAAAGCAGATTCACACTGAGCACGTGTGACAGATGTGACAGGGTCTGGAGACGCTGTGGAGAATGTTCTGCTGCCTGCAACATCCTCCAGCATTACCGTTTTGGCAGTGGGTCAGTAATGGTGTGGGGTGGCATTTCTTTAGGGGGCCGCACAGCCCTCCATGTGCTCACTAGAGGTAGACTGACTGCCATTAGGTACTGAGATGAGATCCTCAGACCCCTTGTGAGACCTTGTGCGGTTAGCCCTGGATTCCTCCTAATGCACGACAATGCTAGACCTCATGTGGCTGGAGTGTGTCAGCAGTTCCTGCAAGACAAAGGCATTGATGCTATGGACTGGCCCACCCGTTCCCCAGACCTGAATCCAATTGAGCACATCTGGGACATCATGTCTCGCTCCATCCACCAATGCCATGTTGCACCACAGACTGTCCAGGAGTTGGGGGATGCTTTAGTCCAGGTGTGGGAGGAGATCCCTCAGGAGACCATCCGCTACCTCATCAGGGGCATTCCCAGGCATTGTAGGGAGGTCATACAGGCACATGGAGGCCACATACACTACTGAGCCTCATTTTGACTTGTTTTAAGGACATTACATCGAAGTTGGATCAGCCTGTAGTGTTTTTTTCCAGTTTCATGTTGAATGTGACTCCAAATCCAGACCTCCATGGGTTGCTAAATTTGATTTCCATTGATAATTTTTGTGTGATTTTGTTGTCAGCACATTCAACTATGTAATGAACAAAGTATTTAATAAGAATATTTCATTCATTCAGATCTAAGATGTCTTATTTTTGTGTTCCCTTTATTTTTTTGAGCGGTTTACTTTCAACAGTTTTTCTTATTCCTTTTCGGCATTATCCTTTCCCAATCTGTTCTATTTTTAAGTTTCCAAGTAGAATAGATTTGAAAGAGACCATTTAGGCTATCAATTCAATCTCTCCCCTCCTTAGTGCCATAATCCAAATTAAAACCTCTTGGTCAGTTGGCTATCTAACCTTCACAATGATATGATAACTGAATGATATGATAACTGATTTTTCAGTGAACCTGCTTTCACTGCTCAAAAGTGTCCCCCCCCCCCCCAAAAAAAAAATTCAATTGGAATCTTCCCTCCTGTGATTTTAATTAAACCGAAGAGGCCTAACATGTTTCTTTAGTTTTTCAAGCTTAATATAATCATCTCCTTTAATTTCTTTGCATAGGATTTAGTTACTAATCTGTGGATATCTTTCTGGATTTTTTTTTTTAGTGTATTCTAGTTTATTCTAAATCTTTTCTAAAATGTGGCACCCATAGCTGGATTTCAAGACAAAGGCTTACCAAAGCACACTATACAATTATTTCTTGCTATTTGAAAATTACACTCTTATTGGTGTAACCTAAAATAGACTTTGCTTTTCCCCCCTACAGCCACATCATTCTGCTACCTCATTATCTGACTGTAGTCAACCACCATTCCAAACTATTTTTATAAGTGTTATTATCAAGCCATATATCTTCAATATCTGTGCATTTGAATTTTTGTTTAAGTTATTTGTGTTTCTCTCTACTAAAATAGTTTCATTTTCATAGATTGTATAAGACATGTATGCATTTATAAAGAACACTTCTCAAATATTCATCCCTAAAATATATCACCCCAGTTAGTTGTTGCCAGCTATTTTTTGCTACTTCTTTGAACTTAGTTTAGCTTGGCTTCATCCTGGGTCTGTACTTTTAGGTCTACTCACTATAGCAAACCTAAAATCCACTTTAAGAACATTCTTACTTCATCTCATGTAATAGAAGTTCTCATTTGGTAGAAGTTTGTACAGCTTCATTGTTCAAAATAATGAATTTCTATCCCACTTGTGGCTACTGCAAGCATGATGCAGAAACTGTCATGTTATGTTAGCCTGGGTTTCATTGGTTTTCCAAAAGCTGTCACTTAGATCCATATTTCTTGCTATCTTAATGAGCTGCAATTTAACCAACTTGACTTGTGGGAGTTTATAGTTTACTCTAGAGGTAGTTATAATTAAAAAATAAGATTAAAAACAAATCTTGTCAAACGGATTCCAACAAATTCATGCTCACTTTTAGTAACAAATTTTGAGACATTGATGATTCCAAAGACTGACATCAAACTAAATGATCTATAGCTCTTGGTTTTATACCCTGGTCCCACTGAATTCCTTGCAGGAGTGTGTTACCAACTGACATGACTTTTTTCTTTATGTTTTATAAAGCACAATTGCATCTTTTTTTTTACTGCTTAAGAATTTATCAGTCCTATATTCTATTCTATAGGACAGCTTTTTATTCCCTTTGACATTCAGAGCCAGTTTAATTGGCAAGATTAACTAAAAACTCCTGTTAGCACTCCCTGTTTTCTTGCCCAGTGAGCTTGCTCTCTTGAACCCAGCTGCCTTAAATTCTCTTACAGTCTCTATTTTCTCAGCAGGGAACAGTCATTCAGTCACCCATATTAGGCAAACAGCAACTCACAGGAAAGAAAAAAAATTACATCTTACAGATGAACATGCAAACTCAAAGAGCACACAGCCTCTCTGGTTACCCTCCTTTCCCCCTGCTTGTTTTCTCTCTGTTAACTTGGTTCTAATGCAGATAGAGAAACTGAGAGATAGCTAAAACAGAGCCAGCCCCATTGATCTTAGACCAGAGGTGGGATCCACCACTTCGGCCCTATTCTATAGAACTGGTAGCTCTGAAGAGCAGCTGACACTTAACCGGTTCTCTCTGAAAATCTTTTCTTTGGTTGGGCCCACCCGGGCTCTAGGCTGTCCTTTATTCTTTCTTTAGTTAGTTTGCGAGGCACAGCTGAGTGCCGTGCGTCAGCAGGAGATGGTGGATTGATTGTAGAAGTTGTTTTGCAAGTAATGTGCATGCAAAGTGCATGCTCACCGAACCGGTTGTTATGCTGGTAGGATACCATCCCTGTCTTAGACTATTTTAGATTCTTGGCAGCAGATTAATTGCTACGTTCTATACAAAGGCCTCCCAACGTACTCTCTGAATATTAGCATTGCTACTAAAAGGCTTCATTACCCAAATTTAATAAAATATGACATACTACTATTTGCAACTCATATCTTTATTCTTAATTGGTTAAATTTCTTTATACTGAAATTCATTTCTTTGGCAAAACGGATTTTGTATTATCCTATGTCACCAACTCAGTGTTCCTAAAAGTTCTTGGATTGCAATTCAAAGTCTTCTCATCAAACATGGACTAATTTGATCCTCATCACATTTAAAGAAATCTGCTTAGGAAAAGCTGTACTACAACATTTTAACAGTGAATCTTTAGGAAGGAAAGGAATCCCTGCGGATTTTACTCTGCTAGCGGTAATCAACTACAAGGGGTAGCACTCATATGTTTCGCGGGCTGATGAGCCAGTGCTGTCAGAAGACATTTCCATGGTCATGTGGCCAGCATGATGTCACAGAGCACTGTTTTCTTCCCCACCAAAATGGTACTTATTTATCTACTTGCATTTGCATGCTTTTGAATTGCTAGTTGGCAGAAACTAGGCGAAGGTGGGAGCTCACCCTGTTGTGCGATGCTCAGCTTCCAGCCAACAAGCCCAATATCTTAATAACTGAGCCATCGTGCTACCCTTTAAGCATTATAAATATCGTATGACCTAAAATGCGCACCTAACATCAAAACATCAAAAAAGCACAACAAAGAATGTTCTTTCTGTGCCAACTCAGAAATCTCAAACTGCCCAAGGAGCTGCTGATACAGTTCTACAGATGAAATATTGAGTTTATCGTCTGCACCTCTATAACTGTCTGGTTTGGTTCTGCAACCCAGCAGGGCAGACACAGACTTCAGAGGATAATTAGGACTGCAGAAAAAAACAATTACTACCAACCTGCCTTCAGTCAAGGACCTGTATACTGCATATGTCAAAAAGAGAGCTGTGAAAATATTCACTGATCCCTCATATCCCGGACATAAACTGTTTCAACTCCTTCCCTCAAAGCGATGCTATAGAGCACTGCACACCAGAACAACTAGACACAAGAACAGTTTTTTCCCAAACACCATCACTCTGCTAAACAAATAATTCCCTCAACACTGTCCAACTATTTACAAAGTCCGCACTACTATTACTATTAATCTTCTCATTACTCCTTATCATCCATCCCCTCCCACTTGTGACTGTATGACTGTAACTTTGTCACTTGTATCCTTACGATTTATATGGATTGTTTCCTAGTATGATTTGATTGCTTGTTGTACCCTATGACTATTATTAAGTGTTGTACCTTATGATTCTTGACTCTTGACGAATGTATCTTTTCTTTTATGTATACAGAGAGCATTTGCACCAAGATAAATTCCATATGTGTCCAATCACACTTGGCCAATAAAAGAATTCTAATTCTAATATTCTCCAGAATTCAAATTTATTACCATTTATGAATATACCAGATTTATTCAATCATAAGCAATATATTCTGATCAATATTGCAACAAGATTGCAATTGCAATAACTAAGAAAACTTGTATTGTACCTTATCTCCTAAATAACAATGCTTTTTATAAAATTATGTTTTAAGATAAAACATGGCAAAAAACCCAGCTAAATATATATTAATGAATATTTGTGAAATACTATACATGATGGAATAAAATGGAGAATTTCAGTGTCAAAAACAGGTGTAGAGGAAGAAGAATGTTGTGTTCAAACATAAGCATAGCCAAACTAAATGGAGAACTTATTTCATGGTAACAAGAATAGTTAGCAGTGTAAATCACATCTAGTGAATTACTTTTCCAGATAAATCCATTATTTATACAAAACTTTAATCAATGAATATCTTTTCACAACAAAACAGATGTAAAATATAAAGCAGATTAAAGAGTATATAATTATTCTTCTACACATTTCTAATCAGTGATCATAATAAAAATTATATTCTAGTCTACACAAACAAGCTTTTCAAAAAAATGAATCCTTTAATTTCAGATTTTTGAAATGACTTGTTATATGCAAAGAGTTCAACCCTGATACCACTTATTCACAAGCAGTCTTCTTAAATTTAGTGAAAACATTTGTATCTGAGTATCTGCAGGACTGACATTTTGGACAAAGCTGCCAAATACTTTAGAACAAAACAGTCAGACTTACCCAGCCACATCAAATGATTGTGCTTTTTGCAGCTTTGCATTTAGTTGGGATCCTCCACCAGATCTACTGAAGGAGGAACTCTTTGGCAATGTTGCTGAAATATAATAATTATGCTTTAAATTTGATGAAATTATCTGATTAATATACAAATTATTTTGTAATTATCAAATATACTTTTTGATATAAACAGATTACAACACAGTTTATAACATTCTAAGTGATTTTTAAAAAGTACAAAGGATCATAAAAATATTAAAACATATATGTATCAATTAAACCAAATATGAGTTGCTAATAATCTCTTTCTTAATTAAAGAATCTGAGTACAAGTGTATTAAACAAGTTAGAGTTGCATAATATTGATCATGACATCCACTGCAAACCAAAATTAATGCAAAATTATGACATTTGCACTGTGATGTCATTACACAAATGTCATTATGTATTTGCAATCTTGATATCTGAATCAATTACTTAAGCTGCAACATTTGCATGATTTCATAATGGACAAGTCATTTTCTATCCATATCTCTTTGAGGCATGGATATGCTCCATGGTATTGATGCATCTATTTAATAAAGGTATTTTATTTTCTGTGGGCTGTGCACAGTACAATACAATTGTTTATACACAATTAATTCCCTATATATTCCTTTCATGTAATTACATATTCCTTAAGTAGTTTTCTGCTAAGGCTCAAGATAGACTTGGAATTGTAAGCAGCATATTACAGCAAAAGGAGAAACCAAATCCACACTGTATTAAGCTACAATTCATTTAACCAGTTTATATAATGAAAGCCAACTGGATAGATTTTTACAACATTATATGCCAAACAAACCAAATTTTGGCTTAGTACAATGTGGAAACTGAACCACTAATTAGATATTATTTATGAAAGTGGAAGACAATTTAGGCCAAGCAACACTTCAGAAAGATATCAATCTCATATCTAATATTAGATTTGCTTAAATATGTAAATATATGTACTTGTGTTTGTAATGTTTTAACATGGCTTAATCAGTATTTAAAAGACTTGGAAAAGCCAACCAGTCTAATTTTCATGGAAAAATGATTAACTTATTAAAACTAATCAAATCATCAAATATTTAGTGATTATTATAAAAAGTTAATACAAATCTGAATGACTCAGGAGTGAAACTTTGTAACTGAATGCTGTTAAACTCATGAATATTTGATGAAAGATATTGTAATATTTTGCTATGCTGTTCTACATTAAAATTGATAAAGAGTCATGTAAATACATTGCAGGCAGCACTAGGACTCTACAGTCATTGGATTAAATCGCACAGGAACAGTCTGATCCTAAAAAAAATATGAGGTTGTTTTAGTGTTGCAGACAGAATAGTTCGCACTCTCCAAATAATCTTTGAGAAACTGAATCTGAAACACCGTATATACCTCTAATACATCATATTCAGTAAGAAAACAACGTATTATAAGTTTAAGAAATAACATCCAGGATAGAATTTCACTGATACCATATATAAATATGTGATTCCGTTTTAAAATATAAATTACTTTTCTTTTAAAAATAATATAAATGTATAAGGTCTGGAAATCTAAATGTTGATAATTCAGCATACCGGGATGAGCATAAGGTGGTAGAGGTTGGATAACAGCTGGTGCTCCATTAGCAACAGGAGGCACAGCTGCTGTAGGAACAGAAGATACTAAAGGTGGAGACATTCCCACAACTGGTATGGATGTAATTGGCCCTGGAGCAACAGCTGAAAGAGGTGGTATACCACTTATCCCTGTAAGAGAAATGTTCATCATTATCATTGCTGGCCAGCTACAAAGACTTTTATTACAACGACCTGTGAATGACCCTTCAATAAGTATAGGACCAAAATGGGAAAAAATGTGCTGATTCTGGAGCAAATCAGACTAAGGAAGATTTTTTCCAAAAGAACAATATTTTAAATAATGTTTCTCTATAGGGAAAGAGAATTTGAAAAAAAAATCTTGGCTCCTTTGTTTTTCAAGGTGGGATAACAAGAGTAGATCAACTTCCAGACCAAGGTGGGTTATTTTTTTTAAAAGGTTTAAATATTGTTGTATTTCCCTTAATAACAAAAATGCAATCAAAATGGCAAAAATGCCCACTGGATCAAATGACTGCATTTACAATCATATGGTACATTTAACTGTGTCTCACTTAACCATCATAAAAAATCAGGTCGACACAAGGTGCCTCAACCTATAATCATAACATACAACTGCAATTCCAGTCCCAATTGTGGTCATAAGTCGAGGACTACCTGTGAAAGTCTGGAAACCTCTTTTGGATTTGTTTTTTGCTTAAAATGGAAAAATGTCAAATAGTGATTTCTGGATTTGAGGACTGAAAAGGATTCAAAAAGGAGCTGAAGGGATTATTATGATGTTAAAGCAGGAGAAGGGATAATGAATTTGTAACTTCTGAAAAGGGTAGAAGTTACTTCATTTATTATATATATTTTTAACTGCATTGCTTTCTATATTTTTTCTTTTTTCCTTTTTCTTCCTAAATTTCTGTATTTCTCTCGTATTCAAATAATAACACTCAACAGAAATTAAAACTGCTAACCACAGATATTTATACTACAGGTGAAAAGCTATATGATAAAGTTTGTTACAATTATATTAAAATGATCACTAAATAGAAGTATGTAGACAGTATGTAGACAATATGAAATCTACAAAGTACTTCAGGAAGATGATATCATATAAAATATTCTTACCAAATCCTGCTGTGGTAGAAATAGCAATAGGAGGCTGCTTCATAATAGGAGGTAATACAGAAGGGAGCTGATAACCTTGTAGTTTTATTTTGATAAGTTTCATAGCTATAGAAAATTCCAGTTGGTCCATTCTCCCATCATTGTTCATATCTGCCAGAGCCCTAGAATGATCAGCATTAAAAAAAAAAAACTTTTGCAAGTTCCTCCAAAAATGAACAGAAATTATATTACAGTTCCAATGTTTTCTCATAACATGTGATGTTTTTATTTTCAGATAGACATCGGTCCATATAGTCCAGTATTATGTAATGTGATAGCATCCGTTTCCAAAGAAATTTTAAAGTTCTAGAGCAAAGCTGTACAACATGCAGTCTGCCAAACAGCCTTTTGTGGCCCACTGGCATTTTTAAAAAACATTAAGTCTACCATCACTAAACATTACCATCACCATCATGTAAGTCACACTGCTGAGCGTTTCCAACACCTCTAGGCTTCACAACGTTGCCAAGTCCATATTGTTATGCTGTTCTTGGATGCCTAAAAGCTGATCAGCATCACAGCTTTTCTTTAGTGGCCTGTGATTATTGCTAAGATATTGATCTGATTCTTTCCCCTCTAAGAGATGTGCAAGCCTGCTCTAGAATATTCTCCATCTACCCAAGGCTCTTTAAACTAGCTTTTCTTTAACATAATAACACCAGATGTATTGGATTTCAACTTCCTGTATTCACCAATCATTCTGGTTGGCAGCACTGCAGTCCAACAGATCCAAAAGACACCAGGTTCAAAAAGTTGATCTAAAACACATTGTCTGAGCTAAATCTATTCTTCTAATATTTATTCTTAACTAACATATCCTGAGAATTTAGTAGAAACCAGACTATCAAGCAAAACAGGTTGTTATTAAAATAAATAACTGTGCAGGTTATTGCATTCAATCCTCAAATTATGCCACAATTAATCAGAGAAAGTATTTAATTTTGGTAAGCTCTACTAAATGTATAAAGAGCAAATTGTCTGCAAAGGCTGACAGTAAAATTATGCATTATGAGTGACTTGGATCTCTCAACAAAAGCTGTGTTAGTGTTTCTATACACTTAGATAGGAATGACGAATAGTTTTAAATTGGGTATTATCTGAATATATATGAAATTCAGGTATACTTTTCTTTCCCATCTTATCAGGGGTATTAGGATCTTTGATAGCTTGGGTGCCTTCTAAGGCTGGGCTGAAAATTAAATGAGATTTAATAGGCTAAAACTAAATCCAGAGAATAAAGAAGGGTTGATGATAGTATATGGATGGACTTCAACTAAATAGGTAGTTCCCGACTTACAACTAAAATTGAGCCCAAAATTCCCATAAGCTAAGCAAGGCAGTTATTAAGTGAATTGTTCTCCATGTTTTTATGACCAATTAACAGTTGTTAAATGAATCATTGCAGTTGTTAAGTGACTCGTGGTAATTAAATGAATCTGGTTTGCCCTTTTGATTTTCCTTGTCAGAAGCTGGCTAGGAAAGCTATAAACGGTGATCACGTAACCATGGGGCTGCTGCAATGGCCATGAATGTAAAAACTGGTCATAAGTCACTTTTTTAATGCCACTGTAACTTCTAATGGTCACAAATCAAATGGTTTGTAAGTCAAGGACTGACTACCTGTATCATGTGAGTGCCTTTTCTTTGGAGAGTTAGGTATGTACTTTGAGGGATCTTGTGCTATCCTTGATTGCTCTAATCAGCACAGTAATAAGGAGCAGTCACTTCCAGCTGCAAATAATGTATTATCACTATCCTTTCCTGAAAGTGATCTGGCCTGACTTGTATAGCAATTACCTCCCGATTTACTATTATGCATTCTATGAGGGATACCCTTGAGGGAAACTCAGAAACTGCAGTAGGACCAGAATGTAATAGCAAACTTCTGTGGGGCATTTGCTAGCAGAAGCAATACCTGTTCTGGCAAAAATGCATTTGTAACATACTGTATAGATTTCCAGATTCGTTCAGTTAAATGAGACGTATCTATTGGAAGTACCAACTTTTCCCTTAAGCTAGGAACTTGGAGCCCTGATTTTTTTTCTGCAAATGCAGCTGGAGGCTTGGTTGGAATTTAATATGGTACCACCAACTATTCTATGGCACAACTTTTCCTTCAAAATTCAGACCACTCCCTTCTTAGCGTGCACTAAGATCTAAATGCTTAACTTCTATACTCTTATCTTTTTTCACCGAGGTCTCTTCTCACGAATTGCATCAGTATTATTTTTATTTAGGAATATTTAGGAAAGTTGTGATTTTCTGGATTATTTTATTTGTATGCTTAATTGCCACAGGTTGGAAAAGATATATATGTTTATTTTGTTGAAAAATGGCTTACCTACGATAAGCCATTTATGAGTAAGTCCATCTCTCTTCTTTCATGAAAGCAGGCTAGAATCAACTGCTAGGGACCAAATATGATATAATCTATTTGTAGCTATTTAGGATTTAATATTACTATGAACTTTGAATGTTACTACGAACTTTGAATGTTAAAAAGGTAAAACGTAGAGATTTTCAAGATTAACAGACATCTTAAATGAAACTGTTTCAAATAAATTGTAGCACACTATTTATACTAATGTGATACAGGACAGAGGCAATTATTTTCTTGCATTATTTTCATACATTACTCCTGTCTTTAACATTTTTGCCAGTTAGTGACCGACCGTAATCAGTTGGTGATGGCTTTCTTCTTATTAGACAAACATACTCCAAATTCCTTTACCAGGAACTGAACCAAAATTAAATTTAAAATTAATCTTAATGAATTAATGTAAAATTAATTGGTGTTTTAAAACTGCTGGTAGCACTAAAATTAATACCACGGCATATTACTGATACAGAATGAAATTATTTAAAATGGTAATTTCTCTGCTTCTACTTGAAACTAACAAGAACTGAATCAGAGCCACAAGGCAGGGTTATCAAGCTTTAAATTTCATTGCAAAACTGTGCTTTCTTTTTAAAGGGACTCTATAAAGGGACTCTATATTATTAAACCACACACAATAAGCAACTTTAAAGGAAGTCTGTTTTATCACCTTATATGCTCAAAACATTCTCAAAGTTGAACTGGACAGTGACTGTGACAGGAAGAATGGAAATAATTACTCTGACAGTGCTAAAATGTTTATCTCTTTCGCATAGGAAAATGTTATCAATTTCATAGAAATGTAAGGTTGTGTTTACAAAAGGAACAGTATGAACTGCCTACTAAAAGTTTTCCCTTTCCTTCTCTATCAATTTTTAAGGTAACTAAGTTGTACACAAAAGCAACAGCCACAGCCAATCCAATAACATAATAATAAATAAAACAATAACAATAATAAAAAAACTTAGCTATAGCCTAAAGGCAGATGCCTAATTCTACACTCAAAATACATAACATTGCATAGTGTTACTTAGCATTTTATAAAAATTGATAAAAATGAACTTGTAATATCTATCTACAAAATACTAAATATTTTCATCTTCTAGTTCTCTATTTCATCTCTACTAGTTATAGTATCAAAACTAATCAAACTGATCAAATTAATCAAAACTAAAATCCTAAAAACATAATTTTCAGAAAATACGTTGGAACAGTATGGTTATTTAAATTTAGTTACTATTTCAAAAACCATTTGACTTTCATTTCATTATAAACCTTACAATAAATTGACAGTTATTAAATATTATGTTTAAGACTAGCATTTTACCACTTTTTTCAAAGCTCAAAAAAATTTAAACATCCACTTACATGCTCCAAAATATCGTAAGATGCAAATATTCTTACAATACATTGCTTTTATCTTCCCATATTACCAACATTTACATCAAAATTATATCAGAGTACACAGTCTGAAAATAAATCCTTATATAACAAAGAGTTCTTAAATGTTCTTAGTGATTTTTTTAAACAAATTAGAATATGCATTATATAATCATATAAACATTCTAACTACAGGCTATATAATAACATCCTATTATTTCAGCATTAAATTATTCTCTCTAGACAATGAGAAAACTCATTCTATCTGCTAAATTTATTTCTAATCATAGAATTAAATATTTATATTTACATTTATTCTGAAAATAATTCAGATGCCTAATGAAAGAAGCTAGCTACAGAAAGATTAAGTTGCTAATGTACTGAATTGACATTTTTATATTTCCCTTAATTCTTTAGAAGAGAAAAAAATTATCAAAAAAACATATTTTATCAAAAATACTGTTCTAAGAACTCATACTATAAAGGAAATGCCTCCTTCAAATTAAGACCATCTATTGGTAACTTCACTGACACATCCATGTAATTCTCCTCCAGGATATATTTTTGACTTTTCATTTAAATCTATAGTCTTTGTATTTCATAGTATATCATAGATAAAATTTATTTTATTCATTTTATTTTTTAATATTTTTATCCCATCTTTATTGTTTTATTACATTATTACTTTCAAGATGGAAAACCTACAAAGTTCTCCTTTTTCCTCCTATATTCCCCATAACATTCCTCCTGGGAGGTGGGTTGGGCTGACAGAGATTGATTGAGCCAGTCATCAGCTAGCTTTCATGCCTAAAGCGGGACTACAATTCAGTCTCCTGGTTTCTAGGTGAAACTTTAAAACAGAATAGCACTGTAGCACCATATTTTAAGTACTGTATTATGCCCCCAAAACAATGAAATATCAAACTTACCATATCTGTGCTAAAATTGGTTGAGGTAAACCAGACTGAAAAAAAAAATTCCTGGCTTGATCACCTGCCAAGAAGAAATGTACTATTTCAAATGTAAAGTTGTAGGAATAGCAATAAAAAGTAGTGGTAAGGAACCTGTGGTGTTTAATACTATTGAACTATATAGTATATTCAAAAATTCTCTATCATTTGCCCTGCTCATTAGAGCAGGGGTCGTCAACCTTTTGGACCTCAGGGACCACCAAACTCATAATATTAAATCCCAGGGACCATTAACCAGTTCTGTGGGTGTGGCCTAATTTGTGGTTGTGGCTTGGTGGTCATGTGACTGGCTGGGCATGGCTTGTATGTAAATATTATAAATATTTATATAATTATTGGATTTTTTATAAAAAAGAGCAACTTTTACCCAAAATCAGGCAAAGCAGGCAGGCACATTGAGTTGCTCACAGAACGACAGATTCATTCAGAAATCTATCTAGCATTGGCTAGCTCAGTCTGTCACATATTTGCTTGCGAGCAAACTCATAAAATTTGCTAGCAAGCAAACTCACAAAATTAACACACAACACACCATGTGTGTAAATATTGATTTTTTTTTATTTAAAAAAGAGCAACTTTTACCCAAAATCAGGCAAAGCAGGCAGGCAGATTGAGTTGCTCACAGAATTATTCAGTGATCTATCTGCATTGGCTAGCTCAGCCTGTCACGTAAAATTTGCTTGCAAGCAAACTCATAAAATTAACTCACAACACACCATGTATGTAAATATTGAATTTTTTTTTATTAAAAAAGAGCAACTTTCACCCAAAATCAGGCAAAGCAGGCAGGCAGATTGAATCATTCACAGAATCATTCAGTAATTTATCTATCTGCCATCGGCTAGCTGAGTCTCTCAAATTTGCTTGCCATGAGTCCGCACTGAATAATAGAACCTTCAGTCCTAAGGGAGGTTCGGCTGTGCTTCAAAGCAGAGCCAAAGATCTAAAGACTAGCTAGAAAGCAAGAAATCCAGCCATTTCCTGCTTCCTAGCTAATTTAAATCTCCCGGCACAGCAGAACAGATGGTTGGAAAAAGGAAAAATAGCAATTTAGCAGGCAAGTTTGCCCGGTGAGGAGTGAGTGGGCGGGAAGGGTTCCGGCAGGCCATGTGGGCTGCGCAGCCTTGTGTTTCTGCGCAGCCTGGATTAATTGCTTTGGAGGGGTGCTCTGGGGATGAGATTTCTCTGTGGCTCACCCAAATTTTCTCATGGCCCACCGGTTGGTGACCGCTGCATTAGAGCATCTAAAATTAAAATATAATTCCAAAGGAAATTGGAGCAACAAAAGTTCCCTTTCCCACAGCAAATAATTAATGTTGGTCTTTTATCATATTCAAAAAGTATCAGTAATTCTTATAACAATTATTGTGATAGGTCAAAATTATTCCTTCTACCATTAAATAATGTTTTCCATCTTTATTCTGAACAGCTTTATCCATTCTTGAGCATGCCAGAAAACTCTCAATGTTACCAGTTTGCAAAACTACAAAAAACTATTTCATAAAAGAAAGCAAGTGAAACTACCATGAAAATGGGATTTTTTCTTCTCCCAGTGGGTGGGTTTGGGGAGGAGACTGAATAATTCTAGAGATAATCAAACGAACTAAAAATATTTTTTTAAGAAATATTTTCTAGTATGTTAAGCAGATACCAAGAGCATAATAAAAAGTATAGTGAAGGTATCATGAAGTCTATAGTTGCTCTAAAACAAGAACCAGAACATTCCTGCTGGCTCAGATCTAGATCCTCTAGATCAGAGCTGTCAAACTCCTGCCCCACAGGATAGATGCATCACATGGTCACATCCACACCTGGTTTAGCGAAGGGGAAAAAATTCCCACTACATCAAGTGACGCCACCGTGACAACGTGAGTTTGATACCTCTGCTCTAGATGTTTTGAAAACTCCTAAATAGTCCTGGATTATTACATATCTCTGTTTCTTCCTAACATCAGATATTTATAATATTTATATATTTATTATCATGCATATAAAGATTCCATGTAACTGTCTAAAACAGAACTACAATATTGGGATTAGGGAACAGCATTTTCTATGACTGCATTTAAGCTTAGAATTTCTTCCAACAGAGGTGTCTTATATTTTTGATAACTGTTTTCTGGACATTGTTAAAAAAAATTCCTCTTTGAGGGTCACTTTCAATGTATTGTATAATACTGCTGTTTTTTTGTCAAATTGCAGAATATTGTAAATACATTTTATTTCTGTTGTGAGTTGTTCATTGCTATTGTTTTAGATTTTCATTTGTATCAATGTCATGAATAGCCCTGAATTTATTTTATTCATCAAATTTAGAGTCTTTCAAATTTAGGACAAATTCTCCCATGTTCGAAATGTTTTCTCTAAATTTTAGATATTTTTATTTATGTTAAATTTGCTGCCTAGCTCACCTGGGACTACTCTTTTATTTTGTATAGTTCAATCATTCTGCCATCTTATAAGATTTTTTTAAATACCAAACCATGCAGATTTGAAGTGCAATAACTAATAAAAACTACGCAAAGGTTCCATTGCTGTTGCTATCAAGTCAATAGAAGAAAGGACAGTCAATTAACAATATATTGATGTTTACCAATAAGTAAGCTTTCTACTATTTTTAAATTCTCTGGTATAATGTATTGTCTCATTCTGTATTTTGGAGAGGGTTGTCCTTGTGTTTTGCTTTTTATTTTAGGTAGATTATCGTGGAAAATTATGGATTATATACATGCATTAAATATGGGGTTGTTATGCTCTTGAACCTTCAAGCTACATTATATGCATTGTGAAAACAGGATTTGAAAGAAGCCTCGAGACAATCATAGAGAAATGTATCTCTATTCTTATACAGTTCACTGGCAGTAGCGAATTGAATTTATTGCTATTATTTCTTTGCTGAACTCAGTGATATAGGTTGTTTGCAGGGGGGAGATAGGCAAGACACCAAAAAGTAGCAATAAATTTAGAATCCTAACATTTCAGTCGTTCTGTTAAAATTACACATCTGAGACCATATTTTGAGTGGAACATTAATTATCTTTTAGGTATGAATACATTGACTTCTGCATTACTATAACAGTGAATTTTTGCAACAGTACTAGTTTGGCTGTTGGACAGAGGCTTTAGGGAAACAAACATGTTACATGTCTGTAGAGATTCTCAGTCATCCAGGTCATGATTATCCCTGTTGACTTTTAGCTATACAATTTGGGATGAACACCTTTGAATGGTGTGAGTAGGAATGGATTTCCAGAGGTAAAAATGTAGACTACAGGAACCAGGAGCACTACTCAGGTGACCCTGAGGACATAACTAAACCTCCAAGTACTTCAACAACCCTCTAAAAGGATGCAAATTACCAGCTGTCTGCAAGGAATATAAATTCTTCCATTCCCCACTATTCTGTCAGAGCTGAAGAAGCTTCTTGGATGAGAAGCTAAAAGTCTTTAAAAAACATACCAAGAAAGTCCAGTTGCCCCCTGAAAAAGCACATTTGGAAAACATGTTACATGATTCTATCAATGATCTTAATCAAAGAGAATGACTATGGCATTACCAGTGATAAATCCAGATATTGGTTTCAAACTGTGGAACTGCTGATCATGCTTCGCTCTCTCTTCCACAGTTATGGCCCAAATGTCCAGGCTGCCTAATTCATAACAAAGAAAATGAAATTGGAAAAACAAGTATTATAAATAATGGTTGTACCTTCTAAAGGCATTATGGAGAATTTAAACATTGCCATTTTTTTAAAAAGCCACAAATTGAAAGAGGTTTAAATAATGCCTTCTGCCTCAGGTTGAAGGAAGCACAGCTCACTAATTAAGCAAAAAGAAAATATTCACTATAATAACCTAGAGCAACATAAATAAGGCTGAAGAATTGGACTTCACCATAAATGAAGTTGGCAGGTAACCAGTAGAAACCACCTATAAATATATTTCTGCTGATCAAATGCCTCTGCATTTTTAAAATCAGAGAGAGTAGGAAAAATGTTCTATTACTATTATGAATCGTATTATGATGGCATAGCCCCCATCACCAATGCCATCCAACATGTTAAATCTTTGCACTTCAAAATTATTTCCCTAGCTCTTGTTCAGGCTGCTTTTATCTCCAGCCATCCTGATGTCCCTTCTCTAAGCTTTTTTTGCTCTTCTACAATTATTCTGAAGAATAAGATGATACAAGACCTTTGGCTCTGCAAATCAGAGTACTTTTTCTAAAACAAATGAAATTGTTTTTTCCCTTAAAAAGAAATGTCACACAAATATTTTAATTCTTACCTCCAAAAGGTGTTGGAAACTGAGCCATGATTCAGCTACTTTAAGTAGCTAATAGATGTCTAAAATAAATGCAAGCACAAAAACAATTTGGAATTATTAAAAATATGAAAATTTGAGACATAAACACAGGAAGGAGGGAGGGAGGGAGGGAAGGAAGGAGGGAGGGAGGGAAGGAAGGAAGGAGGGAAGGATTCCATGCCTATCTTTTTAACAGCATTACGTTTATCACAAATATTGTTACAAGTTTATTCTAAAGAACTTACATAGTTGATTATTTTAACAAATGTTGTCTTAGCATTCTAGATTATAATAAGCAAAGACATGATAGAAAACCAAATGCTATAAATTTAAAAAATGAGGCTTGTTTAATTAGAATGAATCAACTTAATAGCTCTCTTCTAATATTATTCTAGTTTATAACGTACACAAATAAGATACAATATTCCAAATGAGGTCTCACAAAAAAGAGTAGAATGGAATAATTACTTTCTGTGATCTGGATTTTATGTACATCACAAAATAACATTGCCCTTTCGCAGCTGTATCATACTGTTGGTTCCTAATCAACTTCTAAAAAATACTTGAATTTTGTTATATACATAGCTGCTGGCCATGAAAGCAAGCTGGGTGACTTTGGGCTGGTCGAGTTCTCTCAGCCCAACCCATCTCACAAGATGGTTGTTGTGGGGAAAATAGGAGGATATGTTTGTTGCCTTGACTTCTTTGTAAAAATAATAAAAGGTGGGATAAAAATAAATAAACCTCTAGGGAATTAGTATCTCATTGTCAAATCTGACATTAAGAATATCTGATATATGTATAATTATGTTTTCAATATTAAATCATATTTTAGATTAAAAGAATTGATAGTTTATAGTTTATAAATCAATCATATATTAATTTGCAAGAACAAGGCATTATTTTAAATATACTGTAATTAGGATTGATCATCTACATTTTTCAATTTCTTTCAAAACTAAGTAGCTGGGAAATTTTAGTTAATTTTTTTCATGTTATTTTAGTCATAGATTAGCATAGAGCTAATATAATAATTATGCTAAAATAGAAATAAAAATAAAATTTCATATGGATAAAATAAGGGAAAGAAAATTACAGAATACAGGAATTAAACTGCAAACTCCTGTAATTAATTTTACAATAAATAATTTAATGCTATAAATATATATATAACTATAGAAGAACATAAGTAATACAAATATGACAAGAAATATGACAAGAATGTAAAGCTGTGGTAACTTATATTAAGTCTAATACTTGCTGAAGATGATGCTAGGGTTTGTTGGATTAAGACAATTTTGGTCTAACTAATTGTAACACAGAAATACCAAAATAAAACATAAATCCAACTTGTAGAGTAAGAAACTTGAAGGATGACTCTATCACAGAAAATTCAATAACCTTTAAATTAATTTTAACATTGTGAAAGCTTTGGAAGAATATTTCCAAAGAATTCCAAAATGAGAATTAATACAGAGTTTATACTTTCAACACATTGAGAAAGCTGTCTTGAAACACACTCTTCATTAAAAATTCTCAACTTATTAGGATAAAAATAGAATAATTATTCAAATATCTTGATATCAAGTCTGATATAGTCCAATCTACAAAATAAATAGGCAAGATGAAAACATTTCATGTTAATGAAATAAGATTATGAAAAGACATTTCTGGCAAATTTATAGAACATAAGGGATACAGTAATCTCTATCCTATATGCTCCTACTTCAGCGCCTTTAATATTTTCAGGGTTTTAAAAATAAACCAAAAAGGAGAATGAGGGGATTCTCTTTTCTTTTAAGCACTCTTTCAGGTTTTTATTTGCTAATATAGGCAAATTAATAAATAATAAGTTTATTAAACATAACAATTAAAAAGGTAAAAATTACGGTAATACAAATACAAAAGAATAAAAATAGAAATTGCAGAAAATAAGGGAACAAATGAAAACAGAAATGAACACATTCATTTCTTCCCTTTTCATTACAATACACAATTTTAGTAACTGATCACCTTCACTTAAAATACATCAAATGATCTCTCCTTCCCATACCTCATCTTTTATCCATAAACAAATCGTCATTGATCAATGTTGATCAGAAAAACTCTACTGAAGTTACCAGAGATAACAACTTATCTATTTTAATCTTGGAAAAATAAACCAACTTTATACTTCCTTCTGTTAACTATCTTGGTCTTTAATCCATTCAAATAATGTCTTAGAATGTAGTTTCTTTTCATTTTTCTTTGTCGCTTCTTAAAAGAACTTTTAAAAGTTTAACAACTGTCTTGTAAATCCAATATAGAAAAGCTACCAAAATTGCTCGTTTTGTTCCTTATATGCTCCTTTTAATTAAGATTTCAACCAGGTCCATTTGTACATCCTGTGTAGTATCTTTTTAATATCATTCTTACAGTTAGTTATTTTTAAATATAAATCCACATTCAAATCAGTCTGTTTTATCCGATAAAACTTTCTGCCATCTGCCACCTTTCTGCTTTTCTGTGATCTTTTAAAGACAGTCTGACTATAATAGAAGACACTTTTAAAATTAATTTTTGGGTTCATTGTTCACTAATAACCATCAACAGGTCTACTGTGAAAGCATTTTGCTCCTTCTGTATTAGTAGGTCAAATTTAAATGTTGTTCTCCTTTCATTGTAATCTTTAATTCCTTCTGTTTACCTCATGTTCAAGCTTCAAAGTACCACCATATCATGTTTTGTTTTAAGAATTCAAAACAACAGCATTTTCCCATAAGGATTCTTACAATTTCAAAATCTTACTCTAAATCCATCTGAACCCTTAGTTCATAACTTCCAACATCTAAGTTGTAATCACTCTCTGCTGTTTTATTAAAAAAAGAGCAAAGATAATAAACCTCCAGATAAAAAGGAACCTCACATCCACGGCCACTCTGTGTTACCAGGGCTGGTCTGAAGCCTGTTGATCCCCATTAAGACACTCACAGCTTCCAGGCATCACAAAAGGACATCACAGCATTTCATTCACTGGGACAGAGATAAAGTATGCTCATGATACTTCATCCTGTGCTGATGGATGGTCTCACCCAGCAGTTTCATGTAAATGTTAAAAAGGAGTGGACACAACACCAAGCCCTGAAGCACCCTACAAAAGGGGCTGTGGACTGGACCTCTCACTCCCTATCAACAGTGACTGGGATGAGCCTCAGAGGAAGGAGATGAACCTGCACAAAATTGTGCCCCCAACCCCAATTCCCTGAGTTGGCCCAAAAAGATACCATGATCATAGTATGAAAACCACTGAAAGATCAAGAACAAGAAAGATGGATGCGCTACCCCATCCCACTTTGACTAAAGATCATCTAAAAACATGATCAATGCTATTTCTGTCCCATATCAGCGCCTGAAGCCTAAGTGGAAAAAAGATCCAGATAATTTATTTCATCCAGTATCTTCCGGATATAGTGCCATCACTTTCCCTAAAAATTATCCAATTGGGTCCAGCCAAAGGAAAGGGCTCACGAGTGCCCTCTTAAAGGGAACTGGGAACAACCCTTCCAACAAAGAAGAATTCACCATCACTCAGACCCACACAGATCCATCTACGTCATTTCTGGGGACAGGCTTGACAGAATGAAGAACATGGATCTAATTCGTAAGTGTTGGTATTTATGGTCTGGAGGAGCCTGTCCATTTTCTCATGTTCAACAGGATCAAATTGTTCGCAGATATCTGAGTAAGTTTACTCCCCAGGCATTTCCACAGAACTTGTCCCATTGTTGGCATCCAACTGGAATGAATTTTATCTGCCAATTGCCCACCCTCTGACTCCTGTTGAAATACCCCCTGCCTATCACCACCTGAATATTGCAACTCACCCTGAGTTCCCAGAACCTTCATCCTCTTCCCAACACTGGCCTTCTAGCTTCCTTAGAGGGTGATCCCCCGCATCCAGCCACATACATCCAACCTCCTACAACCAACACAGCATTTGCTCTTAGCACCTCTGGAATCCTAAACTCTCACCCAAAAGTGTCACTCTCCCCAGCCTCTCTAACTAGCCTTTAACTAGAAGTTCAAGATGTAATTTATTTATTAAATAAATATCCCACTTTTTTATTTATAAATCACTCGAGGTGGCTTATGGCAATTGAAAATAAAAGTTATAAAATAAAAAACAATTAAAATCAATATTAAAATCTATCATTAAAATCTAAATGAACTGAACTGCATAAAGCTTATTGAAAGATATTGATTTTCACTATTTTCCTTAATGTTGACAGGATTCTTTTACAGGATTATTCATAGCCTAACTTTCATAAACACACAGAACAAGGCCCTCTACTCAGTAATAGAGAGCTAACCTTCTGAAAATAAAATGATTGTCAAGTGAATCCGCTCATTAAAATAACCAGGGGATGAGCCCTCAAAGAGTGAGGGCCTAAACATTTTAGGTCACAGAATAGAATTCTTTATTGGCCAAGTGTGATAGGACACACAAGGAATTTGTCTTGGTGCAAATACTCTCAGTATACATAAAAGAAAAGATACATTCATCAAGAATCATAAGATACAACACTTAATGATAGTCATAGGGTACAATAAGCAATCAAATCCTACTAGGAAACAGTCAATATAAATCATAAAGATACAAGCAACAAAATTAGTCACGCAGTCATATTTATGCAGAAATGTTTAAAATTCAAATAGGTTCACAATTTTTAAGCACCACTACATTTCTAAGCTTGAAAATACATGAAGAATACCACAGATTATAAAAATCCACCAGTCTGTTGTCAATTTCCTGAGCTCTTCTTAATCGTCTGAGGGCTTTCTTGCCAAGCTGTTGGGATAGAAGCCTGCCAAGATTCCTGAAGATAATGTTCTGAAGTGATTCAAGCACTGCTTGCTACATGGCCTGCAATTCCAAAGGTGGGCACTTAGCAACTGGTATTTTAGCAGTGCAAGTCTTGGTTATGTGTATCAGGACTTTACAGTAGCAATACAAACCAAAATCTCTCCTGTTTGTTTCTGCTGTGGGCGGGCGTTTCTATTT